ACATGCTCGGCTTCCAACGATATGCACAGGTCTAAGCCAGCAATGGCTGCTTCATATTCGGCCTCGTTGTTAGAGGCTTTGAATGAAAATTTTAGTGCATACTCGAAGGTTTTGCCTTCGGGAGAGGTAATGACGACCCCTGCCCCCGAACCGTTCACGGTGGAGGACCCATCCGTGAAGACGGTCCAGATTTTCCTCCTTGCATCCAGAGTCTCCTGATGGGAGCACTCGGCCAAGAAGTCTGCCAAGGCTTGCGCCTTGATGGCTGTTCTCGGCTGATAACCGATACTGAACTCGGTGAGCTCGAAAGCCCACTTTGCTAGTCTACCGGATTTTTCAACCTTGCCGAGGACTTTCTCTAACGGCTGATCAGTTAGAACCGCTATTTGATGAGAATCAAAATAGGGTCGCAACTTCCGAGCAGCCACCACCACTGCATAAGCCACTTTTTCTAACAATGGGTAGCGCGTCTCGGCATCCGTCAGGGTGTGGCTGACGAAATAGATCGGCTGTTGAACTTTTTCTTCTTCCCTTAGCAGCACCGCGCTTACCGTGGCTGGACTGACCGCCACGTATAAGTATAGGATGTCTCCTACGACTGGCCTTGCCAGTGTTGGGAGTTGAGCCAGGTGTTCACGGAGCTGCTGAAAGGCTGACTTTTGTTCGTCTCCCCATTCAATGCCCTTTGAATTTTGGAGCTTCAGCGCCTTGAAGAAAGGGAGCCCTTTGTCTGAGGCTCGTGAGATGAACCTGGACAAGGCAGCCATTCTCCCGGCTAGACGCTGAATATCTCTTTTTGTCTTCGGCTCGGGGAGGTCTAAAGCAGCTTGTACTTTGGCGGGGTTTGCATCAATCCCCCTCTTGCTGACCATGAAGCCGAGGAACTTGCCTGACTTCACGCCGAAGACACATTTCTTCGGATTCAGCTTCATTTTGTATTTTCTGAGGGTGGCGAAGGTTTCGGCTAGGTCCGTGACATGATCTTTTTCTTTTATGCTTTTGACGATTGAGTCGTCAACATAAACCTCCATGTTTCGGCCTTTTTGCTCGGCGAAAACCTGATCAACCAACCTCTGATATGTTGCCCCCGCATTTTTCAATCCGAAGGGCATCATTCTGTAATTGTACAACCCGGAACTTGTTATGAACGCTGTTTTAGCTCGGTCCTCGGGGTGCATGAAGATCTGATGGTATCCCGAGAATGCGTCCATGAAACTGAGCAGAGCATGCCCGCTTGTCGAGTCGACCAGTTGGTCGATCCTCGGCAGCGGATAGGAGTCCTTGGGACATGCCCTATTCAGGTCCGTGAAGTCAACGCACATCCTCCAGTTACCATTTGCCTTCTGAACCATTACAACATTGGCCAGCCACTCCGGATACTGACAGGGTTCAATGAACCCAGCATCTAGGAGCTTATCGACCTCAGCTGCGATGTTCTGGTTCTTTTCGGCGGAGTAGTTCCGCTTTTTCTGCTTAATGGGTCGACTGGAGGGGTCGACATTAAGCCTATGGGAGACGAAGTCCGGATCAATCCCGGGCATTTCTGCGGCTGAGAAGGCGAACACGTCTCCACTGGCCCGTAGGAGTTGGACGAGTGCCGCACGGGTGTTTGGCTCCAGTGACGACCCGATGCTAACGCATCTGTTCGGATCTCCTACGGTCAGTTCTATTGACTCGGTCAGGTCATCCGTCTCCATGCTCTTAGAGTTGGATTCCTCGAATTCCGGCCTGCTATCAATATTAGCAGACTTTCCTGACCGCGGCTGGCCATCAGAGTCGTTCGGCTCTGAGGCGGAGTCAGCCTTTTGGCCCCCATCAGATTTCTCGTTGTCTGGGGCTTCATTAGCCGAAACGTCTGAGCCTCTCGGCTTTTTGGCGTTTCGGTCCCGGTGCTTTTCCTCCCCATCGCCACGGTCGCCTCGGCGAGACGTGGATGGCTTGAGGTGATTGCATCGGCGGGCTTCTTTTTGACTGCCCTTTATTTTCTCGGAGCGTCCCTCGTCTGAAACGTATATCATGATTTGATGATACGTGGAGACGACTCCTTGAATGCCGTGAATGAGGGGTCTCCCCATGATCACGTTGTATGCAGATGGAGCATCTACGACCAAAAATTCGGCCATGATATTCCTAGCTGCTCGGCCTTCGCCGATGGTGACAGGAAGTGTAATCTTCCCGTCAGGATACGAGGAAGAGCCGTTGAATCCAGACACCGGGTAGGGTGCGGGGGCCAGGTGCTCGGCTCCCATCCTCAGCTGGTCGAACGCTCCTCGGAAGAGGATGTTCGCCCCGCTACCGCCGTCGACGAGGGTCCGCCAGACGTTGCGGTTGGCGATGCCCAGAATGATTACTAGTGGGTCATCGTGGGGGTATACCACCCCCTCACAGTCTTCGGCTGTGAACAGGATGTTCGGCGCCGGTGACTGGGACTGCCGAAGCTCAGCCTGATGAATCTGATGGGTTAGACCCCTCAGTTGGCGTTTGGCTGTGCCTCGCGAGATTCCCCCGGAAATAACTAGGATGTCGAGGGACTCCTTGCCCTGAGGTCCCTTATCCTTCTTCCGAGCGAAGTTGAGGTCCTGCCGAGAATCTTTTTCAGCTTTTTTCTCCTCGCGCCTGTCCGCGAGGTATTGGCTCAGGTACCCCTTGCGGACCAGATCCTCAATCTGGTCCTTCAGCTGGACGCAGTCCTCGGTGCGATGTCCGGGTGAGTCATGGAACTCGCACCACTGGTCCTTTCCCCTCGTCTGATGCCAGGGAGGCAACGGACGAGGTTTTTTGAATCTCCCCTCGTCCTTCGTCGTGCTGAAAATCTTAGCACGGGGAAGGGAGAGTGGAGTGTATGAATCGTACCTTCCCGTGTAGGGAAAGTGTCTTTCCTTCTTCGGCTCGGCAGCAGAGGACGGTTCTGAGGCCTTAGCCTTCCCTTTCCTCTGCGCCGAGACTTCGGGCTGCTGCCCTTTCGGCTTCTCAATTCTCGGACGAGACTGAGACCTGGATCTGTTCCACTCCTCGGCTCGGATGAACCTATCCGATGCTTCCAAGGCTTCCTCCAGGGTCTGCGGGGGATGCATGACCATGAAGTCCAGGAACTTTCCAGCTTGGAGGCCGTTCCGTAGCGCGAACACGGCCAGGCCTTGATCCAGGCTTGTGATTCCGGATGACTCGTTGCTGAAGCGAGTCAGATAGTCGCGGAGGCTCTCGTCCTCCGCCTGCTGCAGACTCATTAGCTCTGCAGTGGTCTTCTCTCGGCGGTTGGCCGTAGAGAATTTGCTCTTGAACTTGTTGGAGAGGTCGTTCCAACCGGTTATGGAGCCTTCCTTGAGCCCTTTGGTGATCCAGGATTGGGCAACACCTTTGAGGGTCGTAGGAAAGTATTTACACCAGGTAGCCTCAGACCTCGGGTTCAGATACATGTGCCCCTCGTAAGAGGCAATGTGATCCTTAGGATCTGAGGTACCATCGTAAGTAATATGTGCCGGGATTTTGACCGTTGGCACATGCTCTTCCAGAATCCACCTCTGGAAGGGCGAGTTCGATGGAACCATGACCGCCTTCCCCTTGTACCCAGCCTCAGGGACCTCGCTCCCTCCTCTCTCAGAGGTGGAAGTGGTTTTCGTCCCCGGCTGAGACAAGGTTGGGTGGGGTCCGGTATCCTCTGGGAAGGTGAGGCGGCTATGCACACTCACCTCCCTCGAACCCAAGCGTTCGTGAACGCTTTGGCGGGCGAATTCCGGGTCCTTGGAGGGCCCCATGGAATTCTGAGCTTCAGAGTGGTCAGAGGGTTGAGGGTTCCTCCTCCTCTCCTTAATGGAGTTTCGGGTGTCCCCTCGCCACCTCTGGCCGAGCTCTCTATGTGGTGGAACTTGTCCACCATCATCCTGACCGATCCTCCTTTTCAGGTTTCTCGGCTGGTGACCATCAGGCATCTGGATTGGAGCCCCTTGAGCTTTAAGGAACTCCATGCAGATGGCCACTGCTCTGGCCACTTCCTCGGTGGAGGGTCCGGAGGGAGGAGTCTCCCGCGGATGTGACCTGGATTGCACGCTATGGCGCGGCGGGGAGTTCCTCGCACCTGAGCCACTCGGTCTCGGGGATGGCCCCGGCTGCCGAGTGTGGTGCGAGGTGTTCTCCTCCTGAAGGCTAGGACCTCTTGAGGCTTCCCTTTCCGGAGAAATGGGGGCCTCCGATTCGGAAGAGGCTTGCTCCGGGGAGGGATAAACCGGCTGGCGTTCCCTCACCGTAATCCGGCCTCCTCCCTTCTTAGCCTTCTTGGAACTCTTTCCACTCTTAGTCATGGCGACTGCCGGAGTGTTTGATGACTGACGCGAAATTTAGTAGCGTTCCCCACAGACGGCGCCAAATTGTTTCGGATGAAAACAATCGAATCTCGGAAGATCCTTTTATCTTGAGGGAACTTGGTCTCGGTCCGAACGACGCAGGAGCCGAGGGTTTCCTGCACAACAAATACACGTAAACTAGCCTCGGGGGGGACGCCGAGGAAGGCCCCTCCGATGCTTAAGTCAGTATACTAGAGAGAGAAAGCTGTGCAAGAGTTTAGTTGCTTGAGGCTTTATTGTCTTACCAAGAATTGACCAAATTGTTGGCTTTTATACCTTGGCTAATGAAGGAGGCGGATTGGGCCCGGAATTCAGTTGGGCTGGGCCAAGCTGATTGGGCCGTTGACTGACCTTGACATGGCTTTGAGGATGTTGATTTTTGACTTTAGCATATTTGGAGAGTTGAACCTTAACCTTGGGCTTTTAATTGGATCATTCAGTGACCAGGCCCAATTGGACTAAATTGGACCCAAACAAACACTAATATCATTGAAAATGGCAAGAGAAGTAATGTCCAACGTTAAAAATACTACTCGTATTAACAACCTTCCGGATGAATCCATTGCCACCGTCATTTCATTCACCACCCCTCGTGATGCTTGTCGTGTCGCGACGCTCTCTACGACCTTCAGCGTCGTTGCTAACTCCAACATTGTCTGGAATCATTTTCTGCCGTCCGATTATCGTGAAATTATCTTACGGCCATCCAACGTTGATCATGTTCTTCTGTTGGATACTCTCTCTCGAAGGACCTCTTTATGTATCTCGCTTATAATCCTCTTCTCACTGACCAAGGATTGGTGGTAATTTAATTTTTTTGTCATTTGAATTTAATTTGAGTTTTGTTTCCTGTTTTTTTTTTTACATTGAATTTATTAAGCAGGTTTTATAAATAATCCTTTCTTTTAAAATAATGTTTCATTTTACTCGTGTTGACGTAGAAATGATAATTTGGCTTTCATGGATTGACATGGGAAAAAAATTCAATTGGACATGATACCTAGATAGTCTTTAACTAGAATAGCTAGATAATCCGTAGTAATTTTAATCACAATTGTATGTACACATTAAAGTATATACTCTTTCGATCTGTTCTATAATTTTGATTTTTTTTTTTTGTTAATTTCGTATACGAACTTTGACTATAGTTTTTGAGTTTTGTATGGAAAAATATTATTATCATGTAATTTTTAGTAATGTTTAATTATACTTTAATTTAGTGGTCAAACTCATGCATTTGGTGGCTTACGTAATTCAAGCACGGTACCCTAGGATTGTACAAAATACTATGTATATTACACATTATATTCCCGTCAAAAAAAAAAAAAAAAAATTTACATCTCGGTAGATCTAGTAAAGGGCTTATATGTCACATGTTCCACCATTATTTCTAACACAAAAATAAATAAATAAATAAATAAATAAATGTGACGTTCATTGTGTTCAATTAATTATTCTCTTACTAATTTAATAATCCTAACTCCGCATCTAGTAATATATGCACTCGATCTACGCATGGCTATTACATTAGCAAAATATTAATTTTGGAATCCTCATTTCATTTTCTTAATTGTGATAGGATTTAAATTTCCGGCCTATTGTTTATAAGAAATTCCTAATAACTATGAATCAGGTTTGAGATTACTAATTTTTTTACTACATGTTGCACGTATCGAGAAACGAAGGAAGTATAAGACTAAAAGAGTTATATATAACGCATTCTTTTGCATTGATATCACACCAATAGTAGCTATACAGTTCATCCTTGCTTGATAAATTTGATTGTTTGATGCATTATTTTTGTTGTGACTAATGTAATAACCAAAAATCTAATCTGAACTGTTGATCAGAGCTTTTCGCTGGAAAAATCAACTGGCAAAAAGTGTTGCACACTTTCTGCAAGGAGGCTAGACATATCATGGGGTGATTCACCAACTTACTGGCAATGGTGGCTTGCTAAGGATTTTTTGCCTAGATCGAGGTTCAATTCGTTTCACTTGTATTTGGACTCTTTAATTAACTGATAGAGTATAAAACATATTCCTGGGCCTCAACCATCAGCTTAAACTTTTGGTTGAGTTGGTCCTCTAACATAAACGTTAGTTGTTATTGTTACATTTCACTAATGGTTGATCATGTTGCCTTATTTATGTTGTCAACAGGTTTGCTGAAGTAGCAAGGCTTCTATATGTTTGGTGGTTTGAAATAAAAGGGAAAATCACAACATCGATGCTGTCTCCAAACACCAAGTATGGTGCATACCTTGTGTTCCATGTTACAAGTAGCGCATGGAATTTCTATGATTATCCCATAGAAGCTGTTATCGAAACTTCAGGAGGCCAAGTGGTGACCGGGAGGGTCTATTTAGACCCACGTCGTGGAGGTATAGTCGACGAGGATTATGAATTAGTTCCATTAAGTGGTGCTGAGGAGCCAGAAGAGGGTTTATTAAGCTTCTGAAGCAGAGGTTAGATGAGTGGATTGAGGTCGAAATTGGGGAGTTTTTTACTAAGGATGAAGATGAACAAGTGACGTTTTCGCTAATGGAGATTTTAACTGGGGCTACTAAAGGTGGTTTAGTTATTGAAGGAATTGAGATTAGGCCAGTAAACGAGTAGTCGTTTATGGAAGGAATTTATGTTTGTGAAGATGATGAATTTGGAATCGAAAATAATGTACCAATGAAAAATGATACATTGGTTTGAATAATTTTGATAAACAATTTGCAAGTTGATTAGTTTTTAATTACATTTTGGTATTTTGCTTATCTTACTTTTATATATAATGTTCTTATGAAAAACAAAGAGGAACAAATAAATCGCATGCATAGGATAAAACATCCTCACTAATTAAATTTATTCACGTCAAGATCACGCCAGATTGAGTTCTAGCTAATAACGTGTGTTAAAATCACGTGCCTATCTAACAAGCTACAAAATCATCTCAATGTACTCAACAACTTATGTTGCTAGCTGTTCTATTCAGCAAGGTGAGTAAATGAAAATGACATGAACTTAAAAACTATATAATATATATAAGAAATATTAGTCAAATTCTAAAGGTTTATTAATACTTATCATCATCTTATTCCTTAATACAAGGAGTATTGAAATTTTAAACCCTTTGAATATGAAGCATTAAACAATTTAATTGATGTAATATTCTAAATACAATGGGAGAAAATTAAAAGGGAAGGGAGCAAATCGTAGTGAGTTTTAAAGATAGGATAGTACGTAATACTAATTCTCTTCTTCTTAATTGATTGGAGAGACACGTACGTAAAACAATGCAGTTCCAAGTCAAATAAATGAAATGGTAATGTCTATATTTGTACACATTCTTATTAGGCCAAATTAGAAAATAACACCTGCAAAAAAAACCCGATTTTGATTATAACACCAAAACATTTCGAAATTTTATTATAACACCTACAAAAATCCCAAAATTTTGGTTTCACCACCCACTAACGGACTTTTGGATGGAAACCGTTAGTGGGGCCTGCCATGTATACGTGTCAGCTGTGTATTGGTTTTAAAAAAAAATTTAAAAAAAAAAAAAAAACCTAACCCTCTAACCCAGCCAGCCCCACCACCGGCACCACCTGCCCAGCCGCCGGCATCACCTGCCCTCGCATAATCCGGCGAAACCAGCCCCAGCCCAGCCCTACCGCCAGCGCCACCCTAACCTAGCCCCTCACCTGAAACCACCCTCTTTCTCCTCCCGCCAGAAACCGACCCCCTCCCCTAGCCTCACCAAGAACCCAACCTCAGCAGATTCCGGTGGTGTTGCTGCGCAAAAACCGACTGAAATCGCTGCGAAATTCAGCAGATTCGCAGGCGGTTCTCCGTCAATTCGCAAGTGGTTGTCCGGAAGATTTCGTGGCTCAAGAAACCGGCTGAAATCCTACAGAATCCGGTGAGTTTCGTTGGTGAAGTTCCGGCGATTTCGCTGCTCAGAAAACCGTCAATTGCAGGCGTTTTTGCGGAGGGTTGTGGTGGGTGGGGGTGATTTTTCGGGGAGAAGGAAGGGGGAAGGGGATTTACAGGGGAGGGGGGCTGATGTTGGTGGGGGTGATGGCCGGTGGTTTCGCCGGTGAAGGAAGGGAATCCGACGGCAGTTGGGGTCTCCGGCGGTGTAGTGACGGTCGGCGGTGGTGGGGCTGGTGGCTGGGTTAAAGTTTAGGGGGTTTTTTTTTTTTTTAATTTTTAATTTTTAATTTTAATTTTAATTTTTATTTTTAAGCCATTAAAGAACTGACACGTGTTCCTAGTGGGTCCCAGTAACGGTTTCCATCCAAAAATCCGTTAGTGGGTGGTGAAACCAAAATTTTGGGATTTTAAGTGGTGTTATAATAAAATTTCGAAATGTTTTGGTGTTATAATCAAAATCGGGTTTTTTTGCAGGTGTTATTTTCTAATTTGGCCTTCTTATTATCATGTAATTTAAGCCAATTAATTTGATACTATAAAATCTTCCCAAGAGTGGTATATAATTCACAAATTTATGGAATCAAAATAAAATATTAATGGCAGACCATCATAGTAGTATGGTGAGTTCACTATTAATGGTGATATTACTGGCAACTATGGCTTTAACCACCAAATCACAACCTCAATCGGCCATGCCGCCAGCGCCAGCCCCAGAATTGCCACCTGCTAAGGTGTTTAGTCTGGTTTTACTTTTTCAAAATATTTTTCAAACAGGTTTACCACCAACTCCAAAGACACCGCCTCCTCCATCAACTCCAACCACGGTGCCCCCTCCAAGGCCGGTGTCACCTCTACCGCGAACACCTGTGATCATTCCCAATCCACCACGTCCACCTTCAGACGATGACTCCGTTCCTCCACCTTTAGGGGTGGCAGAACCACCATCAGAACCTATGCCTGCTGACAATCCACAACCAGCTCCGCGCTTGCCTGAACCACCCACAGATGGTTCCCAACCTTTACCACCATTAGGAGCAGTCAATTCCCCACTGGAACCTAAGACTGCTTTCGATCCATCTCCTATGTTTAATCCTCCTACAACACCACCTGAAACCTCAGATACTGATGTTCAACCACCAACAGATGACGACGTTCAACCACCACCAACAGAAGAATAGATTCTTAGCAGCACCAGTCGACCACTGTACAAATACCTCTATCAGAGTAGCAGTATGTAACTGTTGATAAGTATATTAGGTGACTCGTACTTCGTAGCTTTGTCCGCCCGATCGGGCGGACATTGCCCGGTCTGACCGGGCGGAAGAAGAAGAGGTGCCTGGCAAATTCGTTGAAGAAGCTGCTCTCGCGCCCGACCGGGCGAGCCTTCGCCCGACCGGGCGAGCCTTCGCCCGATCGGGCAGACCTTGCCCGGTCTGACCGGGCGGTGGGGGTTGGATACGTTGAAGCATTCGTATGGAGTTTTCTTCTCGCGCCCGATCGGGCAGACCTTGCCCGGTCTGACCGGGCGGAGAAGGAAAAATACGGAACGCGGATTTTGCGGTTTTAGGTTATCTTATTTTATTATCTTTTTGCCCAAGTATCTTTTAATTAGGGATTAATATAAAACCTCCCTAATATCAGTATTAGGGTTAAGAGAGACAGAGTGAGAGCCGTTCTTGAGAAATACAAGAATCATCTTTGTAATCTTTGCAGTTTATAGTGAAATCATTCGATCTCGGTGCCCGTGGACGTAGCTATCACATCGATAGTGAACCACGTAAATTCTTGGTGTTGTTCTTATTGTTTGCATTGAATTTCTTTATTGTTTTCTTGTTTGTTTTCGACCTTTGCTTCCGCTGTCGCACAACAATTGGTATCAGAGCTCAGGTTCAATCCTTGGAGAGTTTCTTGAAGATAACAATGGCAGGAGATTCAACAATAAGAATTGAGAAGTTTACCGGGAAAAATAGTTTCGGGCTATGGCAAATTAAGATGAAGGCTCTGTTAAAACAACAGCAGATATGGCGTCCGTTGGCTCCAAAGAGTACTACTTCGGAGTCAGGAGACGGACCGACTGACTCGCAGTTAGAAGTTATGGAAGAGAAGGCACACTCTACCATATTACTTAGTCTTGATGATCAAATCATCACGGAGGTTGCTGATCAGGAAACGGCGGCTGGATTGTGGCTGAAGCTGGAGTCATTGTATATGACTAAGTCGTTGACCAACAAATTATTACTGAAACAGCGGTTGTTTAGCCTCCGGATGCAGTCAGGTACTTCCTTACGGGAACATCTAGAAAAACTTAACTCTATTTTGCTTGATTTACGTAATTTAGATGTTAAAATTGATGATGAGGATGCTGCGTTGATTTTACTTGTATCTCTACCGTCTAGCTTTGAGAATTTTGTAGAGTCTTTTGTTGTTGGTAAGGATTCTATAACCTTAGAAGAAGTGAAGGCAGCACTTCATACTAGGGAACTCAGAATGAAAGCTACGAGTGATAATGGGGATAATGGTAGTGGGTTATTTGTTAAGTCCGGAAAGTCTAAAAAGAATAAGGGGTTTAACAAGGGGAACAATGCTGGGTCGGGTGCTGGAAACGGCAAGGATGGATCTAGTAAAACTACTACTAAAACATGTTATTACTGTAAAGAACCGGGTCACTTTAGGAATAATTGTCCGGTGAGGAAAAACAAGTCCCAGGCTGCTGTAGTTGAAGAGAAACCGAATGAGAGCTATAATTCAGAGGAAGATTTAGCATTAGTCAGTTCTGCTAGGTCTGATGATTTATCTGATAACTGGGTTCTAGATTCGGGGTGTTCGTTCCATATGTGTCCACGTCGAGATTGGTTTGATACATATGAACCTCGCAATGGGGGTATGGTTATAGTCGGTAACAATGCTCCATGTAAGGTCACAGGTATTGGTTCCATGAGGTTGAGGACTGTTGATGGGCGGAGGTTAACTTTGACTAATGTACGGCATGTTCCTGCTTTAGGAAAGAATCTGATTTCATTGGGTACCCTGGATGAATTGGGGTACAATGGTGTGTTTTCAGATGGGGAGTTGTGTATTTTCAGAGGTTCTGAGTTGGTACTTAAGGGTATCAAAAGGAACACCCTCTATGTTTTTGAGGGTGTTACACTGCCTAGTTCTGCGGTTTGCGCATCTGTATCTCACCAGGAGATGACTAAGATTTGGCACATGAGGCTTGGTCATATGGGGGAGAAGGGGATGCAGCTATTGTCCAAGAGGGGTCTTCTATCCGGGGTCAAGGTTGCCAACCTTGAATTTTGTGAGCATTGTGTGTTTGGTAAGAAACACAGGTCAAAGTTCAGCAAGGGTGCTCACATTACTGATGCAGTGCTCGATTACATCCATTCAGATTGCTGGGGTCCATCTAGAGTTGAAGGTATGGGAGGTTACCACTATTTTGTGTCATTTGTTGATGACAAGTCCCGATACACATGGCTTAGGCTGCTTAAGTCAAAGGATGAGGCCTTCAAAGTTTTCAAGCAATGGAAAGCTTTGGTGGAAAATCGACAAGGAAGGAAGATCAAGAAGCTACGAACGGACAATGGGCTAGAGTTTTGCAAAGACGAGTTTAATCAGTTCTGTGCAGATGAGGGTATAGGTCGGCATCATACTGTCAGGAAGACACCACAGCAGAACGGTGTAGCAGAACGGGTTAATCAGACACTGCTAGAGAGAGTTCGATGCATGCTCTCTAATGCAGGGCTTGGGAGGAGGTACTGGAGTGAAGCTGTGTTAACAGCTTGTTATGTCATTAATAGGGGTCCTCATTCTGGAATTGATTCCAAAATTCCGTTTGAGATCTGGAGTGGTAAGTTGCCTAATTTTTCGAATTTGAAGATTTTTGGTTGTGTTGCTTATTATCATGTTATTGAGGGTAAGCTGGATCCACGAGCCAAGAAGGGGTGTTTTGTTGGGTACGGGGATGGTGTGAAGGGGTTTAGAATTTTTTCACCTTCGGAGGGTCGGGTCATTCTTAGTAGGGATGTTACTTTCGATGAAAACACCATGTATTCAATTAAAAATGCAGAGATTTCAGATTTGAGAAGGGAAGGAGACAATTTATTACAGACAGATGGGGTACTTGAGGTACATCAGTCTACCATTGCTGATTTACCTCGGGTACAATATATTGATGATGATGCTGATGTTCCAGTGCCGGGTACTCCTGAACCTGAGATTACTCCTACTCATTCTAACTCTGGGGATGAGGTGGAGCAATCTAATCAGGGGTCATCTAGTCAACCTGACACCATTCTTGAGATGCCTAAACGAGTTATCAAGAAGCCTGTTAGATTGATTGAAGAGATGGAGGGAAGAAATTGCTGTGTTGATGCGATGACAGGTTATGCATTGAGTGTAGCTGATGATGTAGAGTCATTTGAACCTGCCACATATAAACAAGCAATTAGTTGTAGTGAGTCTGCGCAATGGCTTGCCGCAATGGGTGAAGAGATGCAGTCTCTTTACAAGAACAGAGTGTGGGAACTGGTAAAAGTACCGGAAGGGAGGAAGCTTGTGGGTTGTAAATGGATTTACAAGAAGAAAGAAGGGTTGTCGGAAACTGAGCAAATACGTTTTAAGGCTAGGCTAGTTGCTAAGGGGTTCAGTCAGGTAGAAGGGGTTGATTTTGTTGAGATATTCTCACCTGTGGTTCGACATACTTCTATCCGTGTGTTATTGTCAATTGTAGCACATTTTGATCTTGAGCTGGAGCAGTTGGATGTTAAAACGGCTTTCCTTCATGGCGATTTGGAGGAGGAGATTCTGATGAAGCAGCCCGAAGGATTCGAAGTTCCTGGAAAGGAACACTATGCCTGCAGATTGCTAAAGTCATTGTATGGACTTAAGCAATCCCCCGACAGTGGTACAAAAGGTTTGATTCTTTTATGGTTTCACAAGGTTTTGACAGGAATTCATATGATTGCTGTGTGTATCATAGTAAGCTGGATAATGGTTCCATGATTTATCTTTTGTTATATGTTGATGACATGTTGGTTGCCACAAAGAATAAATCTGATATTGCTAGATTAAAGGAGATGCTTAACTCGGAGTTTGACATGAAAGACTTGGGTGCAGCTAGGAAGATTTTGGGTATGGAGATCTACAGGGATCGGGCTAGAGGTAAGCTTTTCTTGACTCAGAAAAGCTACATTGAAAAGATTTTGTCTCGTTTTGGGATGGAAAAATCGAAGCCTATAAGTACGCCAACTACTGTTAGTTGTAAGTTGTCTTTGTCTATGTCACCTCAATCAGAGGAGGAGTTGTCTTATATGTCTAGAGTTCCATATGCAAATGCGGTTGGTTGTTTGATGTATGCTATGGTCTGTACTAGGCCGGATATTGCGCATGCCGTTAGTGTTGTAAGCAGGTTTATGGCTCGACCTGGGAGGGAACACTGGCAAGGGGTGAAAAGGATTTTTCGCTACCTGAGAGGGACAGCTGATATTGGTCTTGTGTACGGGAATGATAAGGAATGCTTGGTCACTGGGTACAGTGATTCTGATTATGCAGCTGATGTGGATACCAGGAGGTCTGTGACTGGTTATGTGTTCACTTTGGGTGGTTCTGTGGTTAGTTGGAAGTCTACATTGCAGTCATCTGTTACGTTGTCAACTACTGAAGCTGAGTATATGGCTTTAACTTCTGCAGCTAAGGAGTCTATTTGGCTCAAAGGCCTAGTAGGTGAACTGGGTATTGCACAGGATTTTGCTACAGTGTATTGTGATAGTCTAAGTGCGATTTGCTTAGCTAAAGATCAAGTACACCATGATCGGACGAAGCACATTGATGTCAGGTATCATTTCTTACGTACTGACAAGAGGATTAAGGTGAAGAAGATTGGGACTGCTGACAACCCGGCTGATTTCTTCACTAAGCCTGTTCCGTTTAGCAAGTTTAAACATTGCTTAGACTTGTTAAATATTGATTACTACGTGATGTAGTAGGCCCTGAGGGGCGAAGTTGGGGAGCTCCTGGTGTAGGTGTGTTGGCCTTAAGGTGGAGCTTGCCCGGGGCTTGTGATGCAGGTGGAGCATTATGAGTTGTTATACTTGGAGACGAGTATGTGATGGGTCTTGGTTGAAGACTTATCGGGATGTATGGCTTATGCATGAGTCTTGCATCGGGTTTGGCTTGAGATGTTTTTTCACTATGTCTTGATGGGGTCGTTTGCTGACTACGAGTTCTCGTCAAGGTGGAGATTGTTGATAAGTATATTAGGTGACTCGTACTTCGTAGCTTTGTCCGCCCGATCGGGCGGACATTGCCCGGTCTGACCGGGCGGAAGAAGAAGAGGTGCCTGGCAAATTCGTTGAAGAAGCTGCTCTCGCGCCCGACCGGGCGAGCCTTCGCCCGACCGGGCGAGCCTTCGCCCGATCGGGCAGACCTTGCCCGGTCTGACCGGGCGGTGGGGGTTGGATACGTTGAAGCATTCGTATGGAGTTTTCTTCTCGCGCCCGATCGGGCAGACCTTGCCCGGTCTGACCGGGCGGAGAAGGAAAAATACGGAACGCGGATTTTGCGGTTTTAGGTTATCTTATTTTATTATCTTTTTGCCCAAGTATCTTTTAATTAGGGATTAATATAAAACCTCCCTAATATCAGTATTAGGGTTAAGAGAGACAGAGTGAGAGCCGTTCTTGAGAAATACAAGAATCATCTTTGTAATCTTTGCAGTTTATAGTGAAATCATTCGATCTCGGTGCCCGTGGACGTAGCTATCACATCGATAGTGAACCACGTAAATTCTTGGTGTTGTTCTTATTGTTTGCATTGAATTTCTTTATTGTTTTCTTGTTTGTTTTCGACCTTTGCTTCCGCTGTCGCACAACAGTAACTATGTTTCCTGTGTGTTTGTTGTAGGTCTGTAAATATGTCAGTTTTTATGGCCTGGCTTAAGCATTCTATTTGTATCGCTATTCATTTTATTCAGTCATTTTGCTCTGAATCTCTGATCATGCAGTGAGAAATACTTAATGAAGAGCAATCAGCTTTCTACTGTAGTTTCTAACAATAACTGCCCGGTTAAACTTCTTAATTAATACTAGTAAGGCATTTACAATAAATGATTATTTCTTAGAAGTGTAGTTTTATACTACGGTCCACGACAACGAACATAATCAGGAATAAACTGACCAAAGATATACAGATATATGAAGATAAAATGACACTTGCATAATGATAGGAAGCTAATTAATGTAATATTCTCATCAAATGGGATTAAAAAAGAAATTAGAGAATAGAGAACAATATAATCTTTAATTATTGACATTTTAAGCTACCTTGCTCGGTACTTCTAATTGTCTTCTTAATTGATTAGTGGAAAGGCAATTACTATACATATCTGCAGTTTCCTAGTCAAACGATGGAAAAGATCATGTCAATATTTCTGTACGCAATTATTTAATGTAATTTATGGCAATTTTGATGGGATAATTAAACCATCCCAGGAGTTATATAAAGTCCCACACTTTGTGTGATGAGAATATAAGTGAAATGGCAGGGCATAGTAGTATGGTGAGTTTACTATTAATGGTTATTATACTGGCAACTATGGCTTTCACCACCAAATCCCAACCTCCGATGGCCATGGTGCCTGCCCTCGCGCCAGCCTCAGCATTGCCACCGGCTAAGGTGTTTAGTGTGGCATTATTTTTTCTCAACATATCCCAAACAGAACTACTACCAACCCCACCAATGCTGGTGCCTCCTCCTCCTCCAACTCCAAGGTCGATTCCCCCTCCACCTCCGTCGCCAATCATGGAACCACCTGAAGAGGATTCCCCTCCTTTAGAGGCTCCATCGCCAATCATGGAACCACCTGAAGAGGATTCCCCTCCTTTAGAGGCTCCATCGCCGTCAGATGACTCAGATGGTAATATCAATGACAATCCACAACCATCTCCGTCCCTTCCACCAGATGAGGGGACTGATCCATTGCCAGATCCTATACTCGCTCCTAATCCACCACCGCCACCAATACCATCACCATCACCACCACCACCAGTTACTGATCCAGAAGAGGATGCTACACCGATGCCACCATCAGAAGAATAGATTCCTACAGCCCTATTTTTTTCCCACACCTTATCTATCTGTATTGCTATTCATCTGGTCATTTTGCTCTGATCACTCGTCGTGGTTCATCGCAACGTTTCTCTACTATTTGTATTATTTCCCATACGTCACTATGCAGAAGAATATATAAGACATCGCGTGTACTAGCAACTTAGTTGTTCAACTTCATAATATTTCGTGGTCAGGCACTAAGCAGGAGTTAATTTTAACCAAAGTTAGGCACGAATCAATGATATATACGTGCAACTATATTGATGGAAATCTAATAAAGTTAAGTATGCCATAATGAGCCCCCATAAAATACTTCTCAATCACTTGGATGACTATTAGTAGTCGATCACATTTTTAAGCTTGTTTGTTTACCCTAAAATCCTTTCCCATTTCTGCCAAGTTTGTGGGTTGGACATAAGGGTTCAATATGTTGTGTGTTTCCTGTTGGTGGTGTTGCTAGGTTTTACGGCATCAGCTCTAACCTCTCGGCCACATTATGTGCCCTGTCCACCACCTTCACCTGGTCCGAACCTGCTCCGTCAAAAATTGATAGGCAGCACACCAGAAGATCCACCACCAGACTAAAAAATTGCTCCATATGCAAGAAGAAATGTAATGAGGTGGGCTGGAGGGCCGTGCAGCAGTGCCTATTTATCAGGGCTAAGCGGCTTTTACATTTTTAAGGTTAGGGACATCTTTTCAATTCGAAAGCTTACCTTCCGGAACATAAGTACTGATATAAAAGAAAATTATGAGTTAATGAGTTATATTACATAATTTTTTAAGGTTAGGGACATCTTTTCAATTAAACATCTCATTTAGAGATGGGGATTAACAAAGTTTCGGTGTCAAATCTTTAAAAAAATATTGAACTGATCGAGTTTACAGCTCTTGGTTATTATATTTTAAATCAAGTGTGCACTACAAAATCATCTAAATAGACTCCAGGAAAAAAATCAATCATATTATACTTGCAAATTGTTTAACGGAAAACTTAAAACAATTGGTAGCTTGTCCTGAAATTCTGAACAAACCTTCCATAGCTCCATATTATAATACCCTCACACACCTGCTACGAAATTTCCAACCAATTCTGTATCTAAACATAAGTAATTGTTTCTTCAAAATCATAAAATTTGTGGGTTGAAATTAAATGAGGTTCACATTTGTGGCAACTCTGCTTTTAGTAGCCATGCTAGCCGTAGCCGGTATAACCTTGACTACAAAATCCCAGTTCCTTGAGATTGCAAACGACCGACTAATACTCCTACCAAATGGGTTAGTCCAGCAACCAGTGTCAGAGACCCTCCCTAGGCGACCCACAGGGATGCTAAAGACTGATGGCAGACGGCTAAGAGCATCAGTCCTCACACCGCCAGCACCTAAGCGAGGTCCAGGATACACTCAACAAGCGCCACCAGCTCCCTCTTCTATCTACAGGTGACATTGTTGGGGATTTTAAGGCTATCATCTTCAAGGTAATACAATCTTATCATCATTTTCTCCTAAGATTTTCTGAAATTCAGCGTATCTAGTTCAGTACATCTCATATAGTCATATGTTGCACATCCCCTTTACTTTTTTGTCTAAACATTATTTTTTTCTAAATATTTCACAAGCAGGTTCACATCCAACTCCGATCCAAACAAACCCCATATAGTTCAGTACATCATTATAGCTCAAAATTTATGTTTAGGGAACCTCCAGACGAGGATCCTACACTGAAGCCTCAACCAGAAGAATAGATTCCCAGCAGGTCAATTTGGTGTATTCTGATGAATTTCCTTGTATTTCATCATTTAGAGTGAATTTTAAACTGTATTCGGGAAAAAGAAAGCACTTATGACATGCAGTGAGAAATAATAAATGAAGAGCAATCAGCTTTCTAATGTACTTTCTAACAATAATTGCCTGGTTAAACTTCTTAATTAATACTAGTGACATCTACAATATGATTATTTCTTAGAAGTCTAGTTTTGTATGTTCGTTTGACATTTCAGTGGATCCACGACAACGAACATAATCAGGCATAAACTGACCAAATATATACAAATATATGAAGGAAAAATGACACTTGCATTATGATAGGAAGCTAATTAATGTAATATTCTCATCAAATGGGAGTAACAAAATAAATTAGAGAACAATATAATCTTAAATTATTGAGTTTTTAAGCTAGGTAGCTCACTATTACTAATTCTTTTCTTAATTGATTCGTGGAAAGGCACTTACAACTCTGCAGTTTCCAAGTCAAGTGAATGAAAAGATCATGTCTATATTTCTTACATAATTATTTTACGTAGTATGTGATTTAAGGCAATTCTGAAGAGAATGACATTGTTAAACCTGTTCCCCAAGAGTTATATAAAGTCTCAAACTTTGTGAGATCAGAATATAAGTGAAATGGCAGGGCATAGTAGTATGATGAGTTTACTATTTAATGGTTATTATACTGGCAACTATGGCTTTCACCACCAAATCCCAACCCCAGGTGGCCATGACACCTGCGCTCGTGTTTGCCACCTGGTAAGGTGTTTAGTCTGGCATTGTTTTTTCGGAACATTTCCCAACCAGATTTACCACCAACTCCTTACTCCACCCATGTTGCCCCCTCCACCAACTCCAAGGGCAATGCCTCCTCCACCTCCATCTCCAGTCATGGAAACACCCACAAACACCACCAGTAAGTGACGAAGCACCACCACCGGAAAATGACAATCAACCACCACCACTGTTACCACCAGATAATGACAATCAACCACCACCACCGTCACCACCAGACAATGATGATCAACCACCAACACTGTCACTACCAGATGGTGAAGATTAATAGCCACCACCAGTTACCGAGGATGTTGATACGACAACAATGCCAGGAGACTAGATTCCCCACAGCTTAAATTTTCTACTGACGATACCACTGTAAAATCAACCAGTGCTCTCACCCTATCATACATTCGTACATATCTCCTATCTTATATTACTACTCGGAAGTGTATTAGGTTACATTGTTACTTGTGCATGTAGCTATATGAATATGTCTGCTCTTTATTGTCAGTTTTGATGACCAGGGTTATAAAGAGAATCTTCAAATTCAATTTAATCATTGAGGTTGTTCGAGTGATGGATAATGAAATTCTTAAGAATGATGATGAGTTTATTATAACACTTACGATTTGAAAGATTACCCTCCAGAATATAAGTATTTATATCAAAAGAAATTATGAGGTAATGAGTTGTTTTACATAATTTTTGTGCTTAGGAACATCTTTTTTCTAATAAACGTCTCTAGAGACGGTGATTGAAGAAGTTTCGGTGTCAAATTTTAATAAAAGAACAAAAAAATGTTTTGAACTGACCGAGTTTACGGCTCTTGCTTATTATATTCTAAATCAAGTGGATACAACAACACAAATTAATTAAATAGACTCCAGAAAAAAACAATAACATTATGTCATTATACTTGTACTTTGTAAAATGGAAAACTAAAACAAATAAACGATTGGTAACTTAATTATCCTGAAATTCTAATTAAACCTTCCATATCTACATATTATAATACCTTCACACACCTGCCACGAAATTTTCAATCAATTCTGTTTCTTATATTTAGTCCTTGTTTCTTCATTAGATTAGTGGGTTGAAATTAATTGGGGATCAAAATTGTGTCAAGTATGCTTTTAATAGCCTTGCTAGCCAGTATAGCCTTGACTACAAAGTACCTTGAGATTGCAAACGGCCGACTAATACTCTCCCTGTCAAATGGGTTTGTCCAGCAACCATTGCCAGAGACCCTCCCTAGACGACCCACAAGGATGCTAGAGACTGTTAGCAGATGGCGAAGACCACCAGTTGGCACACCGCCACCACCACAGAGGGCTCCAGGACAAATGCAACAAGCACCACCACCTCCACTTATCTACAGGTGACATTATTGGGGATTTTAAGGCTATCATCTTCACGGTAATACAATCTTATCATTTTCTCCTAACATTTTCTGAAATTCAGCTTATCTAGTTCAGTACATCTCATATGTTGCATATTCCCTATACTTTTGTCTAAACATTATATTTTCTGAACATTTCACAAGCAGGTTTACCATCTCCATCAACTCTAGTAGATGCATGATTCTGACATTGAGACGTTCAACCACCATCCCCACTTGAGGATGTTTAGGGAACCTCCAAATAGATTCCCACCAGGTCAATTTTGTATCGACGACCACTGTACAATTTCTCCTGCAGAGCATTAAGCACCATTGCTGTCACCTATCATTCCTATATTTTTTTTCTATGTTATGCACTACTCATAGTACGTTTCCTGTATTTATATCTATGAGGATATGTCAGTTTAGATGGCTTGGCTAAATCTGTTTATTTTATTTTTCTACATCTTATCTGTGTTGCTATTTATTTGGTCATTTTGCTCTAATCACTCATCATGGCTCATGGCTATCTACGCTTTTCTTCTCTTTTTGTATTTTCCAATATGTTACCGCGCAAAGAAAAAAGATGTGAACAAACCCTTTTTTACAGGAGTACTCCTTACTTGTTCAACTTCATTATCTTTAGTGGTCAAGCAATAAGTAAGAGTTTCATTTTCACCAAGTTTACAGCAAGATAACATAAATCACGCACAGCGAACAAATCAATGATAGGATCTCCACAATTTTTAATGGAAAACTAATCAAGTGTAGCAGGCCATTGGATGTACCATTAGTTAATCACAATTCACAAACTTTTTAATAAGCCTAAAATCATTACCATTTCCGCCAAGTTTATGAGAATCCAATATGTGATGTGTTTCCTATTGGCAGTGTTGCTAGTTTTAATGGCATTAACTGTAACCCCTCAGCTGCAAAATGTGTCCCGTCCACCACCTTCACCTAGTCCTGCAGTGTCAAAAATTGGCATAAGATATGGTAGATAGTAAAATTCATTAAAACAATGATAGCTTAACAAAGGTACTGATTTGAATGATTTCCGGCATTTTCCTATGGAACATAAGTATTGATGTAAAAATTTAAAAACAAATAAAAAAAGAAAAGAAAATAGAGAGGAAATTATGAGTTAATTTTGCGCTTAGGGACATTTAATTTTCCAATTAAACATCTCGCTTAGTAGTTTGGTGGTCAAATCTATTAAACAAAGATATCTAATTGTTGAGCTGACCAATTAAATTTACATCTCTTGCTTATTAAATTAAAAATCAAGTGGGTACAACGACAATATTAGTTAAATAGTCCTAGAAAATCATATTATACTGAGTATATACTTGTACAGTTGTAAGTCGTACTTATTAACGTGAAAGACTAAACAATGGGTAGCATGTCCTTAAAGTCTGATCAAACCTTACGTAGTTCCGTATTATAATAGCCTCACATACCTGCTATGAAATTTTCAACCAACTCTGTTTATCATAAGTCCTTGTTTCGTCAAATTCATGAGTTTGAGGGTTGATATTAAATGGGGTTCAAAAATATGGTAAGTCTGCTGTTAGTAGCCATGCTAGCTAGTATGGTCTTGACTGCTAAGTCCCAGTACCTTGAGATTGCAAACGGTCGAATAATACTCTCCCAACCAAATGGGTTAGTCCACCAACCAATTTCAGAGACCCTCCCTAGACGACCAGTAAGGTTTCTAAGGATTCTTGGCAGACGGCGAAGACCACCAGTCCGTGCACCACCACCACCTCAGCGAGCTCCAGTACACAATTTTTTAGCACCACCAACTCCTCCCCCTTCTCTTTCCCCTCCCCCTCCTCCTATCTACAGGTGAAATTATTGGGGACTATAAGGTTATCATCTTCATGGTAATACAATCTTATCATAATCTTCTCCAAGATTTCTGAAATTCAGCCTATCTAGTTCAGCACATCTCACATAGTCATATGTTGCATATCTCCTTTACTTATGTCTATCACTTTTGATCGATCATTCAAAGACACGCCCATCCTCAAAGATTTTAAGGGAAGAGAAGCCACCTGCCATACCCAACTGCAAGTGCTCCTTCTGGTGTTCATACCTATGTAGCGGGGGACTGGAGGTAGCCTGTATTATCTCTGCTCCGTCTGAAATAGTTTGTCTACTTTTACTACTACGTATAACTGACATAAATTGTGATTCACATCAGCAACTCATACTCTCGTAGAATGAAGTGGACAAAATTTCTAGACCAAAGGAGTATAGAGTTTACATGTAATTCTTGTCTTCCCCTTGATTATTTCAGCAAAGTAACTTCATTTGTATTCCTATTTTGATTACACTGTCGTGTAATTGTGTAAACCTTATTTTGGTTATTTTCTTACTGCAAATTTTATACTGCTAAATTTCTGTCACTCAGTGTATCAGTTTGGGTGTGAAACAACTTCCCATTTTCCATAGCAGTATAGCACAGCAAAACTAATGAGTTTGATTACTTCAATTTCTTCAGGTTTCAGGTATTGCTGTTCCTGAAAATCTCGTTGATTTTCATTTAGCCATACTTTCACAGCTCCAAAGATTCCCTCTGTCCCAAGCCCTCAATATAATAGGATAAATCGAACTTTTAAGGTCAAACCTTAATTACTTCATAATATATTCTCTTCATTTAACAACTGCAAGCATTATTGTTGATCGATAACTATAAACAACTCCAAAATAATCGAGCCAAAGATTTATTGAAAACAATCTAGAATCTGATAGTGTTATAACTCTCTCTTGGTAGGCTTAGCAATTAGGTCAGATGTGAGTCAATCCCATAGGGAAGGATCAGTATTTAAAAATTAGGTGAGCTCAACTTAAGTCTTATTCCCTAAAATAATAGCTTCTCAAGTAGAAGCTGGTTTTAGAACTCTACTTGGCTACTCCTTTCTATAAACCTGAGCATTTTCTGATAAAATATGCAAAGGATTCATGGGATTGCCAGGAAATACTTGATTCAATGCATGTTCTTCTCGTTTTCTTTAAGGATTTATCCATAAGTCAAATACCAAACGTCACACCACCCGCTTGGTATAGTGTCACAGGGCTCACAAGGGAGTCCTATATATTTTTTAATATCTTGGAAAATGTAAATGAAAGGTCTTATGTGATTATTTATTATGCATCCACTTCAAAAAATGTGCTTTTTTCATCAATTTTACTTTTCAAGCAATTTAGAAAAGTGGCGGTAAAAATAAATTACGAAAAAAACACGAGAGCATATGTGCCAAGGTTTTTCTTTTATAAAAGCCATGCCCAAATTTGGGCGTAAATACATTGATTTTGTGTTCTCGTCTTGTTTTGTACATATACTGAGTGTATCAATGCAAGGGTGAAACAAGTACATATCTATATTTCCCAAACCTTTAAGCAGTTGGAGAGAAAGCATGAAAGTTTGTTCATGGCATCCTTTATCCACCAACTCAATCAAAATACTTAGCATTCTAGAAACACCAAAACTCAATGTACATGTGTACAATGCTACACCATGGAAACAAAGGAGAATTTGAGCAACTAAGCATCCAGCTTATAGACTTATAGTATTCAGGTAAGGTTGGAGAACAGCTAGCCTGATTCTAAGCAATCTTGTTGCTGGCTGATGAAGACATGCATGATAGACAAGGAAAGATTCTCACTTCACAAAGGGCACTCCGGACGGGACCCTTTGAGCATATTCTTCATACTCATCATCAAAGAACTGTCTCAAGAAAAACTCTTCATATGGTATGCGTCCAGCAAAGAACTTCCAAACAACCACCGCAAATGCTAGGGTACAAATAGGATTCAGCAGCATAATCTGAGTGCCAACTGACCAGATGAAAAAGCCGCAATAACCTGGATGCCTCACAAATCCATAAATTCCGTGAGTTACTAGTCTGTGTTGCTCCTCATGATGAATTTTAATCAGATGCGTAAAAGCATGACCAGCTGTTACCATTGCCACTTTTCGTATAATTTCCCCAAAGACAACCATGGCAAGGCCTGAGTTGCTTATCCACCAATATTCTTTCAACCCAGGAAGGAAGGTGATCTCAAGCCAGTACTCAACCAACGAGCATATCATTGCCACGATGTAATTTTTGCTTATCAAAAGAGATTTCAGAGTCACATTTAATCTTCTATGAATGTAAACAGCTAAAAAATACTCCGAAACATGAAAAAAGACTATAGCCACAATAAATTCAGATAATTGTCTGCAAGCAGTAATTGATGAAAATGGAGAAGTAATATAAGCCAATGAGGAACCTTAAGATTCAGATCTACTTATTCAACCATGTCAATGCATTTGCATTGTTGATTGTCTCAGATCTGGGACACACTGGTAGACATATGATACCAAGACAAAGAGTCGAGTCTGCATTTCATCCCCACCTCATACCTTGAAAACAAAAAATTGATCCTCGCTAGGATTCCTACCCCATGAGCTCCATAACACACCTAAGCTCATCACCAGATGTAGTATACACATAAAGGCAATAATAACATGGATATATAAAAGCTTCCTACTTTAGGTAAAGCTCAAGCATTCATAATCAACACTTCAGCAGCACTTTCAGCATAACAATAAGAAACTGTGTGATGATAAGACTATACATCAATGTACAAAGTAAACATATGGAGGACAGGAAAAGACTTACATAAGACACAATCAAAAGCAACAGATTAGATGCCTACCACATCATTCATCAATGTACAAATACTTCCAGGAAGGGTTTTTAAAAATGGATCAAATCTCTTCTCACTCTACTGAAGAAGGGATTTGTATAATTGTAAAAGGCAACCATTTACCCTACTATCGTAGGATACGACAAAGTCATAAAATGGAATGCTCTTGTGTTAAGCACAAGCACCAGTCATATACAGATAACAAAACCAAGGGATCCAAGAGAAAAATGCAAGTGAAAATTAGAGGTGAATATTTATTCCTTCATCCCATACAATCTTCAATCACATTTTCTTAACAACCTAATGCTAGCTTGCATGTAACACCAACAATATCTCCAATACCAATACAACATGAACAATTTCAAAAGCCGAATCATGATTCATGGAAGCCACTATAACAATTCTTTTCATTGCATCAAATTTCCTCATTTTGATTCCACCCCATCTATCACATTATTTCCCGGACAATTTACACCTACATCATCAAATGAATAATGTGGACTGTGGACGCCAACTAGCTTAGTTGGTTAATCTCTAGGGGTAGTATCCTAAGACCTAAAATTAATTCTCGTTTGCATCATTTTTCCTTTGCAGCTCACTCCACACACCAAAAAAATAAATAAAAATAACTCAAATTACAAAACTTCACCTAAAACTAATTCAAATTTCCAATAGACCCAAAATAATGGATCCAAATTCAATTTAACAAACTACTAATCCTTAAAGATCCATTCTTTCAGTAATTCAATATACTTTAAAAGAAAAATAACTAATCAATTCATATATTCTTCAAATTAAGTACTCTTCTGCAATCATAATGAATAAAGAAGACAATCTATATTCAAATTGTTAGTTTCAAGAATGTAAATTAATCAACAAAATAGAATAACATAATATATAAAATAAATGATTGTTGGTGAAAGAACTGAAGAGTGTGAGAGTAAGTGTCTAGCAGCAGATGAATCGGAGGAGAGCCACTGTGTCAAACTCCCGAGTGCAGCCGAGTCGGTTTGACTCAGTGAAAACCGGCTAAGAATTATGTTTGGTTCGGTTTTTTCCCCTTTTTTCATTAGAAACTTAGGACAATTGGCCCATGTACTAAGGCCCATAATGGCAAGAAAAAAGGCCCATATGTTACATTTCTAGTGAAAAAAAAAAAAAAAAAACCTCCTTAATCTTAGGGTTAAGTTACTCATAGCGTAGAAGCAATAAATTTCTTTCACAGTGGCATAATGTTGAAATCTTATGACAAAATTACGAATTGATGTGTTTATTACAATTTTTGGTTTCTCAAAGTCAAAGCTTGGAGTTGTGTAAAAAAATTCATAACTTAGAAGCAAGAAAATTTTGTTTAAAACTTATTTCTATCTTACTCCCACAATACCGTGAGTGTGGTACTCCAAGTTCTTATTATTTCAATATCATCATTAATTATTTAACTATACAGTAACATATGGTTGTTACTTTATTTAGTGCATTATGCTATTATGTATGATCAAACTCTATGTTATTAGGTAGGGAACTTTTTGTTACATTATATTGTATGTTATGTTCACCATATTCATCTCTACTAATATTTTGGTTTTATTTCTTTACTTTTTTCTTGCCTTCATTAATTCTTTCACTTCTTTTCTCTGTAATTATTTAGATATATCTTGATGTAAAATATGTTTAAACAAAATAATACAAGTTTTTAGCAAAACAAAAGAATTTATATTAATAAATAATACAAGTTTTTAAACAATATAATAAAAGAATTTATATTAATAAATAATACAAGATATAAGCGAAATAATATAAGGTTCGATCCAAAATAATACAATGTTTATACCAGATAACAAAGAGATAAAAAATAACACAAGTTTTAAGCATAATAACATTAGAATTGAAATAATAACTACATAAAATTAAAATTTAAAATATTATATCTAAAGAAATTAACAAAAAGATATAATAAAAAAAATAAAAAAAATAACACAATGTTTGCATAAGAAAATAGCAACGAACAAACACAATTTGAAACTAGATTAATAGCATCCGTTTTGTTACATAAAATAAGGTTTTTTTCAAAATAATCCCAATATATTTGTAAAATAACCATGGTTTTAATATAATAACATATGGAGCATATGTTAGTATGGTACCCAAGGAGCACCATACTTATAGTACTTCAGGAGTACTTAAGACTAACTACATTAAACATATTCAATTTAAAGCAATCTCGATGTTTCTCAAGGTGAAATTTTACGTAAAAATTATTGTATGATATAAAGTATTGTACAAAGTAGTTCAAAACCAAGTATATGTATACAATGTATCCAAATTCCAAAGTGCCTAAATATGTGCAATGTTGACAGAATACAAATTCAAAACAAGTTAATCCATTCACAACGAGCCTGTTTCTCAAAGATTAACATAATTTAAAGCATGGAATAGTTAATTATTGAAAACAATGGAATATTATTGTACTGAATATTCTCTTAGGCTATTTTGTGCAGTGTGTCTTCGATGATTTCGGTTTGCTACAATTTGTTGTTAGACTTTTTGTCATGTACAATTTTTTCAATAAAGGGTTCTAGTTTCTCTTCCACGTCTTCAAAGTCTTGCTTCATCACGTCCACCTGCACATATCATGTAATCTACAAAATCAAACTTATTTACACCACGAAAGTCAAAATTCATACTGCGAAATGATAACCTATAAATAACACAAAATAGTTTTTAGAGAGGTACTAGTACATCTTATGATATAGAGTTATAAAAAGAGTATCACCCTAAAACTTAACCAATTAAACTAGTTGACATTTATAGAAAAACATATGAGGTACTTCATATAGATATCCCATTAATACAAATCACCAAAAATATCGTAGTTGTTTACCTTATGTATGATTTCTTCAGCCAAGTGAGCATCCGTAGCTGCCTCCTCTGAAACATGTTCGACGACCAAAGCTGCTTCCTTAAATTTGTTACCATCAGGGAGTTCATTAGCCACCTCTTCCGAAAGCCTCTCCGTCACGGTTGCCACCTTCTCTACCACTTCCGCCACTTGTTCTACCTCTCTCAACACTACTTCCGCCTCACCTAACGTATTTGGTAATCATAATATTATTCAAAAAAAAAATTGTTATGTAACGTTAATTGTTGATGTACTCTATTCAGTAATATAAATATCAATTACCTCCTATTCTTAGAAGAGTTGTCCATTTAGGTGCCCAAAATGCTAAAAGTAGAGAAAACATAGAGCCTAAAACCATTTTTATCCTGCACACATAAAACAACAAACTCGTTATTTAATTGAATTGTGTCTACACTTGACATCCTCGTATATAAATTATACACAGTACTTCCTTTGTTCTAGGAAAAAATAAATTCATTTGTCTCACATATTGTATTGCTATAATAGAAAACGTGAAAATACTCAAAACATCAACTACTACCTAGTTATTTATTAAGATATAAATGTGTACTGTGATATGATATAATAAGCTACGTATAGGAATAGCTAATCCGAATATTCCTAAATATCTTAACTTTCTAAATCTATCACGATAGATCACACATATATATTTCACAAGATGTTCTAAAGTATTATCTGTTCTAAGATTTCTAACTATCTCTTAATACTAGACTCCTCGTATTAGAATAATATCACGAAACACATACATACCACGAAACACGCCTAGCTGGTGGTGGCCGTGGTTTAGGTGACGGTGGTGTTGGCTTTCCATCGCCTCCCCTGCATATATAATTACGTTAAGAACGAATTAAGATCACGATATATATAGCTAATAAACATTGCTAATTTAATTATTTGCTCTTACGTAGAAGCACCTTCAGCACGAACACTTCTACCTCCAGGTGATTGTACATTAACAAGAGAGCCATTATTATCTCCAATTCTTCGCCTAGAATTAGCAAAAACGGCGTTATTAGCCAATGCATTGTTTGTTTTTGCTCTATAGAGTTGTATAAGCTCAATCAAACCGCGCATTTTGTATGATCCTAAATTGTTTCTCATCCTTTCACACGTTACAAATACAAACTTTGATCTTCTTGGCCAAACTACGTTGCAATTTGAGTTTCGTACAATTGGAAGAATCATGTAACACTCGTATTTATATGAATATGAATACGAATATAGCATGATAATATAAAGTTTGAGTTTGTATAAAGAATTTATATGACTAATGGCCTAGCTAGTTCGCGTGTTAAATTGGGCGATATATATTAAAGCAGTTTATATATAATCAATTATTTGATGGGTTGCTTTAAGGATATGCATGGCTTATGTGAAAAATTAAGCAAGTAAACTCGTGACTTGAAATATAAATTATGTTACTTGCAAGTCATGTATTGCCCAATTTGTAATGTATATTAATAATCTTTCTTGCAATCTTTGTATTTCATACGTAAAATTTTACTAAAATGGAAAAAAATTTAAGCTATTATATATGTTTTCTCATACGGCTCATTTCTTTGTCACGTCGTTAGGAGTACTTGCGCGCGCGTATGTGTAGCCGTATGAGAAAACATATATATTATTTTTTTTTGCTATCTTCTTTGAATTTTTTTATTAGATCTATCTTTAAGAATGTGGTAAGAACAAACATTTTGGTGGAAAGGAGGGAGAAAGAGAAAATGATTAATCTATTGTTTAGATAGATAATAATAATATGAATATATTATCAAAATGGGAAGAAACATTATTATCCTCCTCTCCTCCCATCATTACTTTTTTCTTTCTTCCGAAATTCCCTACTTTAAATGCATGCAATCCACGACACGACACAATAAGTAATTATCCGAAATTTTCATTATACAACACTAGCTAACAATGGACTAGGTTAGGTTGGGGGTTGGGTTAAATTAAATCAGGTCGAGTTGATATAATAAATGGTTTGAAAATCTTTCAACTCAACTTGGCATGGTATTTAAACAAGTGAACTTGAAGCTTGACCAATTTTAAGTGTGTTTTTTTTAATTAATACGAAGTATAAGATAATGCATTATGTGACTCTTCCTGTTGTTTGATAAATTTTTGTAGCTTTTTGTTTGCATATTATCAACCCAACACTACAACAGTGCAACCATTCATTTAATTTACCTATTATGAAGAACATAGTATAAGACCTATAAGTTTTTGCTTGATAAAAGGTGATCTCAATGGTGGGTAAACTCTAAGCTCTCGATAAAAACATGCTATGCAAATTAAAATCCGAATCTCTAATATAGTAGCAAACTTCGTAGGGATGATATATTTTAAGATTTCGCATAGATTTATGCGAGTTGGGAGAATGGGACAATTGCTTGTTTACACATTATATATGAATGCAAGACCACAACCTTTTTGAGTGGAGAGCCAAGACTGCTTAAGAGTGTCTTTATCTTCTTATTTTACTACCCGTTTTCTAAGCATTTTCGCAGCTTCTCCTTTTGCTAATTGCTTTTTTTGTACTAGCTTTTAGAATTTGATATATTTTTATAAATCTTACCTCAACAACTTAATTCAAGTTAAGGCAAAACGGATGGAAAATATAACTATTATCATAATTCAAAACGTGACAACTTTTTTTTGGGGGGATGGGATGTGGGTGTACTAATGTTGTATACTTTAAACATAAAGTAAGGAATTTTTTTTAAAGAATTAATACAATAGCTTATTCATAAAGGTAGAAGCGATTTAAGCTCCAACAGTCAGTTAGTCACTTATTCAACTTTGTATTCCCAAAATCTTACTAGATTTAGATTTGTTGCTTTCTTGTAGCAGTAAGTAGCCTCAAGATAAATGATGTATAACCAACAGATTCCGAAAAAGGAGTCTGATTCAGCTTCACCAGCAGAATCTGAAACTACTAAAATTCAAGAGATTCAACCAGAAAACCCAACTCCCACAAAGGAGTCTGATTCGACTTCACCTGCAGAATCTGAAACTACTAAAATTCAAGAGATTCAACCTGAAAACCCAACTCCCACATGCCGCCGCCAAACTTCTCATACCTCTGTAAACATTTCAGATGATGTTTCAGCTGCTTCTTCAGCATCTGCACAACAGAGAGAATGTTCATGCTTTGAGGTACTATGTAAGATAATATTTATACTTTTGCTACCGGTTATATGTGCTTGTTATTTGTGTGTTGCTGCTATGATTATAGCAGTTTTTTTAGGCCTTATCATTACTTGCTCAGTAATTGCTGCCACCGTCGCGTTACCACTGCTATTGGTATCGTTTTTAGTTATACGGTTACTTCAGTTCTTTAGTCACGGTGATGCCTATGACAAAGCCGTTCAACTTATGCTTTTCATCCGTGCTTGGATACTCATAGATATGGTGGTGTTTCTGATTATATTATGGATTTTCTTCTGGGTACCTAAAAACATCTCAGGGTTAAGGCATGTTCTGTTGTTAGGATTGACTTTAGCAGATTGGGTAAGCCTATATTATGTGATCTTCGGCATCTACATTTTGAGCTGTTTTGTTTCAGTAGTGACCATTAATTTATTACCACTGGTCCCCTTGGATCACACAGAAAGTGGCCTTATATTACCCGAAGCAGTGCTTGAAATAATCGACTGTCTCATTTTCTGGTTGGCAGAATCTGAGGTTATGAAACGTGTTTCCACCTTTAAGCACCACAAGATACTTGGACTGAACACCCAAAATTGGATTGAGGTATCAATATTTGTCCTCGTTGCCTACAATGTCATCACCTTGTCTACTTATATGATAGTGTGGTTGTTAAGGAAGTTAGTTTGTCACAAAATACTTAAACCAGGGATTAATACAAAATCACGTCAGTACTTAATTATAGAAAAGTTCCTGCGAGGAAAACATCTAATGTATTGGGCCAATGGAATGAAACGCAGCATCAACTTCATATTAAGATCATTGCTGCTTTTAATTACTTGGGTGTCTTATTTTGGCTCCAAGCTAAACAAAACGCCCCAGGCCAAATACATTCTGGATTTCGGAACCTGGACTTGTCTCAGTCTTTTAATTTGCTCCTTTCTTTGGCTGGTCAAAACTTGTGTCTTGCTATCATGGGAGGCTTGTTCTGTGTATAACAGATTGAACTCTAAAATCTTGGAAGGTGGGAAGCAGTTGTATTTCCTTGGCATCATAGGTCGCCACAACTATGACATCTTAAACCTTCTGTATGAGTGCAAAGATGATGAAACTTTGTGGAACTATGACATCTTAAACTATGGCTCGGATGACCAGAGATTAAGACAGTTTGTCTCACATCTATGTAAAACCTTGTTTCCTAATAGGGTAATGAATCTGCATGCTCATTACCTAAGTAAATTGGATGATGTGGATGAGTGGGGAGATAAACAAGTTAATGCGAAGAAATTGTTGAGAAAGAAGCATAAAAGAGTCAAGCATGACTTATTGATACAGGAGGGTCGGACTCTTACTCTGTATTGCATACAGCAAGCTGCTGGTTACTTTTTGACAGCGAAACAGACATTGTTAAAGGAGAAGTATACTAGTGACATCCTTGAAAATTTGAAGAGCCATAGTCAAGATGATGATCATGATGGGTAAGGGTCATTTCTTCCTCTAATCTACTTGCAATGCTGTTATATTGTCCTAAGCCTCAACCGTGGTAATTCAGGATGCAAAATGATTTTACAATAATGTCTTTTGTTGTAATTTTATCAAGCCTATCATCTCCTTAAGTAACAATATCTTCCAATTATCCTACAACTAATATATACGAGCCCTTCCACAATGCTCTTTTGTTGTTCTTTGTATAAAACATTTTACTTGAGATTATGGCCCTTATTTAGAATATTGTTCATGTTTTCAACTGATAAGCAGGAGTATTAAAGAAAATCTGAAGCGACTTATTCAAGTTGGAAACAATGCGAAAGATAAAACAGAAAATTCATCCGGGGATGCTCTGGTAAAAAAGGATGATTGGGGCTATTTTGAAGATCAACTTCATGAATATGTGGGTTCTTCACAAGATATATCACCTGAAATTTTTCATACATGGATGGTATGTCCTTACTTCACCAGTCTTCTTTAGATCTCTCCATTTGGGAATTTAAATTAAGTACTTAGCTTGTGGAGTTTTACATTAAGTACTCCTGGAGTTCAATTAGAGACATTATTTGGGATATTAGTTTCATTTTGGTAATATAAAAAATAAGACAGAGTGAAAACCTCTGTTAAATTACTCAGGAGGACAATTCTTTGACCAGGACAATTTTATTATTATTATTTTTTTATGCCATTTCATATTTGTTAGCGTTTAATTGATTGACAGCTTGACTTATGTACATTGATCAGGAAAGGGCATGCAACAATTGTTTGTTCCTCGCAAATACATTAAGTAGTGCCAAGGAAGTTGTTGATTGTTTAAACAAGATAATCAGCTGGCTTTTGATTGTTGCTACTTTCATAATGTGGTTGCTTCTAACTGGGTTGGCTTCCACAAAAGTACTAGTCATCATAGCTTCTCCATTGTTAGCTGCAACTTTTATATTTGGAGATGCTTGCAAGACCCTATTTCAAGGGATCATGTTTGCCTACGTTATACACCCTTTCGATGTTGGTGATTTATGTGTCATTGATGGAAACATGGTAAGTTATTCAACTTTTAATAAATACTTCTGATTTGATTAGCAACAAATCTTTTCTTTCTATGATTACGGGATGTTATGATTTGCTATTGTTTTTAATAGGTAGAGGTTAAAACAATTGGTGTTTGGAAATCAACCTTCTCAAAAGTTGGGATGCAAGAGGAAGTGTTATATCCAAATTCGGAATTATGCAACAAAAATATAATCAACTACAAGACAGAATTTGATTGGAATGATTATCTAGAGCTTGATACAGTCTCATTAGACGAGGAAAAAATCAAGATTTTGAAACAAGAAATTGAAAAGTAAGAGTTTTTATATGTCTCCTCGTATAAATTTTGTATGTTTCTGATTTTATTTTATGCAATATAATCAAATTAAATTATTCACAGTTAGTGTATATTTTTGTTACATCAGATACCTTGATGATGGTGAAAACGGTAAATTTACACCAGGTTATAATTGTGTGGAAGTGGTGATAACTGAAGAAAACATCAAGATAGCTATTAACTTTAGACACAATGTAAACCTTAAGAATAGCACTTACTTTGAATGCCTCAAGGAAAAGCGCAAGCGGCGATCAGAGTTCATTCTCCATGCACAATGCCTTGTAAATCACATGAAAAATGGAAGAACAAAAACCTCAGGTTAGCTTTTATCCATCATTGTTAAGATTCAAGCTTTAACATTCCAAATACAAAAGCATAAATTTGAAGAAAGAACGGATCAATGTCACATTGTTTTCACTCTATGTCCTAGTGTAACTTTACACATTCTCCCCCTTCTCCCTATGACGTTACATGTATACATGATACAATGTTTCATGCTTTATAGTTAACCTTTAGTGTATTCACCTTCATTGCAGAGAGTTACGAAGATAAGGTAGAAAGTAAAAATGGCAGCTTGATGAATATTCCCGATTCAGGTGATGAAGATGACACTTTTGTAGCAGGAAAGGTAGAGGGAGTCTATGGAGGATAAGTAATTCAGTAAACATGTTTGACTACACTTTACACCTTTGGTGCAATTTTGCAATAAAGACAATCTTGCTACAAAATCATTAAAGCTAGGACTGGATCTTATTAGCAATAATGGTATAGTTAACTAACTGACAGTTACTCGAGTTCATTTCAAACAAAACTCAAAGCACTTATACTTATATGAGCTTAAAATCTAAACTCAAATTCAATTTGAGACCTCAATAACTCGGTGTTGAAATCCGGAATTTGTCTAGAAAAGTTCATCAGCTAGGATTTTATTAAATGCATAATTAAGCAGACCAAAATCTGAATGTGACAGTGTCTGATTAACTATTACTCTATTAGCTACTAAGCTTACTATACTAGTATTATCTTATGCAAAGATATTCATAAAGGTATCATCATAACGTCATTGTATAATGTCATACGGTGAAAAATCCAACAAGAACTAGCTGGTATTAAATATTCAAAAGCATTGAAAATCTTCATTGCAAACGCAAGCAAGACAATAACAAACAAAAACAAGACATAAAGATACTATCCCTAATTAACTACTCTAAATAATTTTCCACAAAGTAATTTTCATGACCAAATCGCTGATATCATTCACTATTACATTAATTATTTTTATTATAGACATAATACAGCTTGATATGATTTTTTTTTTTTTTTTTTTTTGACAAGTTGATATGAATGATTTTAGAAGATGGTGTTTAATAAAAAATATATATATATATATAATTTTAAAATATTGTTTTTTTTATAATTGCTTTGTTTGTTAATTGTCTTTGTCTTCTTCTCCTAAGACGGTACATACAATATTGGATTAGGTTAAGTAAAAATATCACAAATTTGCATGCCAAAAGCAATACGTACAACCTAATAATATTAACAAAAAAGCACAGAACTTGGCTAAGAAAGATACAATATAAAGTGGCTTTTGAGGTGGTTATAATCCTATGCAAGATATAAAGCAGGTCATTTTGTTTGTAATTAATTTTCTATGTCCAAGTCTAAACATGGTTTTAATTTAGCATTTCTCGTTAAATTGATTTAAAATAATGATTACACCTTTGGAAAATTTGTTGGCATGATTGCTCCTCAGTGTTTGAGAGAGAGAAAAAAAATAAAAATAAAAATAAATAAATAAATAAATAAAAGCATACCTCCTCTGTATTTTCGAGTTACAACACTATCTTTTCTATGATCAAAATTCATATAATTCAACCACATTCTTTTATTATACCCTAGTAATATATTAAAAACAATATTCATACTCTAAGAAATAAACTATTATAAAATCAATTTTTCATAATCTTTACTGATAAAAATCAATCATCAAATATGTATGAAACTATGAAAATATCTTACTATATATAAAAAAATGAAATAGTAATATGATTAAGAAGTCAAACATACTAATATAAAATCATGTATATGTATATATAAACATAGTATCTGGTTGCCGTGAATGAGCAGCCATATTGACTTAACCTCTGTCTCTCATTCAAAGTCTCCTACCCAAATTTTCCCTATTTAGTTTTCCCCCACAAATATTTTCCAACACCTCAAACTCCTATCAAAAATTCTAACCCCTTTCTTACTCTTCCAAATTCCCATGGCTTCTCTACACAGTCACAGAAAACTCGCAAACTCAAACTCAAACTCCGCCACTACCACTGATACCACAGTCCAAACATGCCTACAATTTTGCCACTCCGAAAAAAATACAACCTCATCACTATACTCTGGTTTCTGCCCTGAGGTCTGTTTGGCAATCTGCCCTTCTCTTTGCATATACCCCCTCACAAATCTCCCCTTACCTCAAGACTATAACCCTTCGAAACTAAACAAGTCCCATAATCTTTCGCCTCTCCTAATCTCCATGCTTATACTTTTAGCCACAACTTTCCTCTTGATCATCTTCTATGTTCTTTACACCAAACTCTACTTCCACTTCTACGCACCCAATAGTCATTCTTTTCTCCAAACAAGGCCTAGAAGTAGACGAGGAGGAAGGGTGGGGAGTGATTCTCGGGATGATGAACACGTGAGTAGGGTGGTATTCAACCCCTTCTGGTGCATCCCTACCGTAGGACTCCCTGCTACGGTGATCAACTCCATCGCCGTCCACAAGTATGGGAAGGAGATGGAGGAAAGAGACTGTGCAGTGTGTTTGGCAGAGTTTGAAGAAGGTGATGTACTGAGAGTTTTGCCCAAGTGTAATCATGCCTTTCATGTACCTTGTATTGATACTTGGCTTTCTTCACACACTACTTGTCCACTTTGCCGTGCTCCTATAATTCCACCTGATCAACAAAATCACAATCACGGTCATGATCACAAGGCTGAGGATACATCAGCCTCGTTGTCACCAACAGTGGAGGAAGCAACAGAGGATAATTCCTCTGATGAGGTTCTGAGCATTAGTATTGTAAGTGGAGAAGAGGGAGTTGATGGGAATAATTTGGAGGAGTCCATGGAAAATAGTACTTCAGATAAAGATCAAGAAAATTTGGAGGAAATTAGTAAAGGGAGTTGTTCCCAAAGATGGTCTTTAGAAAGAGGGGCAGCTAATTTGGTGACTAGATCACTTTCTTGCAGTGGAAAGATTTTTTCATCGCGTTCTAATATTAGACCAAGTCCAAATTTATGATTTCGGAACGAGTAATTCATACCAGAACACAATACATGGAAGTATACATTAATACATACCCTTGCATCGTGATGGGTTAATCATACATACTTGTCTCAAAATCTGGTGGAGTGGGGCGAAATATCTTTCTGTCTTGACAAGTAATACCGTTTAGTTGGGAATTTTCCCAATCTTTTGCGATGGGACATGGAATAAGATATGAAGGGTAGGAAACATCGAGAATGCAGGACTTTGATGTTAACGTCCTGGTTGGTGGATGAAACAAGAGTACAAAATCATTTTTGTTACTTGCAAGTATGAAGCTAGAAAACAGGTAGAATAGTTCTGTCCTATGATTTTGTCATTTGAGTATGATGTTTAAACTAGCTTTAATTAAATTAGTGTTCTACATCAATGAGAATGAGAATAAGAATGTGAAACAACAGCATAACTACTTTTACTAGTTTAGCTGTTGCCTTTTAAACCTATTTTAAGCATTGGTATAACGACTGCTACTTCCTCTAAATTACTATGCTAACCTCAATAATTAAACCTTTGAGTTTTGGGGTATGTAATGAGAAGTCTTTCAATCCCACAACATAGGTTTGAAATTTCCAGTATGCAATGCATATAGAGGTCACACAGGCAGCATGTACAAAGCAGGTGCATCAGCACATATGCATGCACATCATGCAACAGCCTCAAAGAAGCATGAGATTTTTTGCCCTCAACGGCCTCACATGCATCGTTGCTTATAGTGTACACTCCATCAGGGGCACCATACTCGGTGCTAAAAGAAGAATGAGATTTTTTGCCCTCAACATGTTATTGATCTCATACCACCTTGTCAATCAAATGTCCATTTATAGGAAAACAAATTTAACTGATCATATTTTGATACTCTTACATACATCAATGCATGGATACATTTGGCCAATTAATAGTTTGAAAGATAGACCATATAGTTCACATAGGAGTAAAATCATTGTGATGTAGGAAGGATTCAGACCTACTACTAAACACATCTATGTACAACATGTAACCAACACTCAATGCAAGAAAGACAGACATAAAAATGTGTTGAACTATCCAAAATAAATAAAATTAAATTAAATCAGTACAAAGTTTAACAACAGGGTGATAGAGACGTTGAGTGCTTGGCATTATCAAACCCCAGTCAGATTACACTGATTTCAGATTACACACATGAACTAAGGTTCTTCATATTGTTCGTAATGACTGCTTGACTGCCCTAAGTTTTCCGAAATAAAATGGAACCCATAATTAGTGCCCTTTATTATTTCCTGCTTAAAGAGGTGAGGTGTCTCACAATATTCCCCATGAATTTAATGTTTGGGCATCCTTAAGAATTTTCATACAAGTGAGTCAAATAAATTCAGAAGCTTTAATGTTTTAGAGAATTTGCAAAAATTAAGAAGGTAAAAATGAAATGGAAAGTAGAGACAGTAAAGATAGACGGGGATCCATACAGTATCAAGAGGATGTCTTCCAATCAAGCATTTGCCCGGCAAACATAGGAACAATTTCTCCGGATGGGAAAGATATACACTCTGGGATCTTCCATGGTTCTTTTAGCAACTTAATCTTAGATGTGTTCCTTGGAAGACCGTAGAAATCAGGACCATTGAAGCTTGTAAATGCCTCCAACTTGTCAAGTGCATTAGCCTGAATGAGCAAAGAAAGCAGAAGATGAACTTCCAGAAAATTCTACCAGCACATACGAGTACTATATAATTGAACATCATGCAGGCAAGAAGAGCATGCCACTGCTACCTAATTTGTTTCACTTTGAAAAAGAAAGAAACACTAATCATTCATCAAACTTGTTGTTGGTACAGAGAATTCAATCTCATGAGGAGACTCATCTAGCATAGCCTAGCCTTCTCTGAAGGAACCACCTTCTACTTCTTCTATTATGAATGCATACCTCTTCAAATATTTTGGCATATAGTGATAGAGCAACAGGCGCATTAAAGATTCCAGCACATCCACAAGAACATTCTTTCTTCCACCTCTCATGAGGCGCACTGTCAGTCCCAAGAAAATATTTTTTACTCCCACTAGTTACTGCTGAAACAAGTGCCTGCCCTGCATGTACAACCAAAAGGTACAATCAGAGCACGCGGAGACCAGAGAAAATGACAGAAATTCATGTCAAAGACACAAAATGAGCAAATGTCATGGCTTTTCTTCGCTTGATTAGCTGTAGCAAACTACACACCCTATCTAAAATCTGGACCTAAAAAAAAAGAAGATTTTTCTTTTTGATTCATTACTGATTTGAAAACACATACTATGGATTTCCCTTTTGAGCACTGGAAGACAGTAGTTATGTGGCTGCAAGCCTCCTTGGAAGAGAGAGTTCCTATTCAGAACAAGGTGTTGTGGAGTCACAGTGGCAGCTACAGTACCTGATAATTGTAAAAGGAGCAAGATTAATAAACAGATTGATTTCAGTACTGAAAGAAAATTAGAAAATTAGTTTAACAACTGAAAAGGATAAACTTACCTTCATCGCATGATTCAACAAATTTGACAGCATCAACCGTAGTGATATGTTCCATCACAACTTTAAGCTGAGGAAGTCTCTGTAGTAAAGGTCTTAAAACTGTCTCAATAAATAACATTTCCCGATCAAAAATATCCACATCAGGATCTGTAACCTCCCCATGGACCTGTTAATAAACAAAAACTCTCAGTCTTAAATAATATTCTCAGTCTTAACTTATGGAAAACCATCTCTTCTCCTTAAAAATCATGGTTCATTCCAGAAGGTAAAAGAAAACTTTAAAAATGAGAAGATAATCAAAAAAAATTCGTTGAATTTCTTCGTTTGCTTAATAGGTAATAACAAGAAAGACACATTAAACCCTGCGCTGCATTTATTCGTGATAGACAGCTTACCAAGAGAGGCATATTTTGCTCAGCCATCTCTTGGAGCACAGGCAAACACTTCCCAAAAAGATCAGTAACACCATCCTGTGAGTTAGTTGTTGCACCAGCAGGGTACAATTTGACAGCATAAACCACCCCACTTTCTCCTGTCAAAATAATTAGACAAAACCAATCAAAAACAAACTTAATTAGATCCCTCATCACCCAACGTATGACTTTGGGAAGGCTAATATACTAATGACACAAACAATATCCAGGTTAATGCAAGTTAAACAGCTTTTTTTCACATTCAATTGAATAAGAAATGCCAAACAAAATCTTCCATGAATAAACACCTGGAACCAAATCAAACAAACCGTTCTTGTCTTCTAGAAAACATATACGCCATACTATATCATCAAAGCAGAATTAATAAGGCCACAGATAATGAAAGAAAATTTGGGGAAGGAACGATATCCCAAGGGAACACAAAATGAACATGAAATGATAAAAATACAAATCTAGGGATCATGAAACCATAAAGGTAGGAAACCAATAGATAATTTTAGTAGAAAATACAGCTCTATGAGTCTATGACTAAGGACTTCTTGGGTTATAACTTAAAAGTTTGAAAAGACTCGTGTCAATGTCCATAATAATGCTTGTCCGCTACAAATATCACTCTTTCTTCATAAAATTCCCATTACCCACCTCTAGAATTGATAGAAAACAAGCACTAATGAAGGGGAAAAAAAATTGTTTCCTAATGAATCTTCAAACCATAAATATTGACATGAGACTTTCCGTACAAAATAACACTTAAATTCGTTACCATTTGTCCATTCCTATCCTTTATTAGTATAATTACCGCCTACCAAATGAGCCGTTAATATATAACAAACCAACCCAATAACAACAACATCAATTTCACCTAAACCAAAAGTTTAGACTTACTAGCTGTTGATAAGTATATTAGGTGACTCGTACTTCGTAGCTTTGTCCGCCCGATCGGGCGGACATTGCCCGGTCTGACCGGGCGGAAGAAGAAGAGGTGCCTGGCAAATTCGTTGAAGAAGCTGCTCTCGCGCCCGACCGGGCGAGCCTTCGCCCGACCGGGCGAGCCTTCGCCCGATCGGGCAGACCTTGCCCGGTCTGACCGGGCGGTGGGGGTTGGATACGTTGAAGCATTCGTATGGAGTTTTCTTCTCGCGCCCGATCGGGCAGACCTTGCCCGGTCTGACCGGGCGGAGAAGGAAAAATACGGAACGCGGATTTTGCGGTTTTAGGTTATCTTATTTTATTATCTTTTTGCCCAAGTATCTTTTAATTAGGGATTAATATAAAACCTCCCTAATATCAGTATTAGGGTTAAGAGAGACAGAGTGAGAGCCGTTCTTGAGAAATACAAGAATCATCTTTGTAATCTTTGCAGTTTATAGTGAAATCATTCGATCTCGGTGCCCGTGGACGTAGCTATCACATCGATAGTGAACCACGTAAATTCTTGGTGTTGTTCTTATTGTTTGCATTGAATTTCTTTATTGTTTTCTTGTTTGTTTACGACCTTTGCTTCCGCTGTCGCACAACAATTGGTATCAAGAGCTCAGGTTCAATCCTTGGAGAGTTTCTTGAAGATAACAATGGCAGGAGATTCAACAATAAGAATTGAGAAGTTTACCGGGAAAAATAGTTTCGGGCTATGGCAAATTAAGATGAAGGCTCTGTTAAAACAACAGCAGATATGGCGTCCGTTGGCTCCAAAGAGTACTACTTCGGAGTCAGGAGACGGACCGACTGACTCGCAGTTAGAAGTTATGGAAGAGAAGGCACACTCTACCATATTACTTAGTCTTGATGATCAAATCATCACGGAGGTTGCTGATCAGGAAACGGCGGCTGGATTGTGGCTGAAGCTGGAGTCATTGTATATGACTAAGTCGTTGACCAACAAATTATTACTGAAACAGCGGTTGTTTAGCCTCCGGATGCAGTCAGGTACTTCCTTACGGGAACATCTAGAAAAACTTAACTCTATTTTGCTTGATTTACGTAATTTAGATGTTAAAATTGATGATGAGGATGCTGCGTTGATTTTACTTGTATCTCTACCGTCTAGCTTTGAGAATTTTGTAGAGTCTTTTGTTGTTGGTAAGGATTCTATAACCTTAGAAGAAGTGAAGGCAGCACTTCATACTAGGGAACTCAGAATGAAAGCTACGAGTGATAATGGGGATAATGGTAGTGGGTTATTTGTTAAGTCCGGAAAGTCTAAAAAGAATAAGGGGTTTAACAAGGGGAACAATGCTGGGTCGGGTGCTGGAAACGGCAAGGATGGATCTAGTAAAACTACTACTAAAACATGTTATTACTGTAAAGAACCGGGTCACTTTAGGAATAATTGTCCGGTGAGGAAAAACAAGTCCCAGGCTGCTGTAGTTGAAGAGAAACCGAATGAGAGCTATAATTCAGAGGAAGATTTAGCATTAGTCAGTTCTGCTAGGTCTGATGATTTATCTGATAACTGGGTTCTAGATTCGGGGTGTTCGTTCCATATGTGTCCACGTCGAGATTGGTTTGATACATATGAACCTCGCAATGGGGGTATGGTTATAGTCGGTAACAATGCTCCATGTAAGGTCACAGGTATTGGTTCCATGAGGTTGAGGACTGTTGATGGGCGGAGGTTAACTTTGACTAATGTACGGCATGTTCCTGCTTTAGGAAAGAATCTGATTTCATTGGGTACCCTGGATGACTTGGGGTACAATGGTGTGTTTTCAGATGGGGAGTTGTGTATTTTCAGAGGTTCTGAGTTGGTACTTAAGGGTATCAAAAGGAACACCCTCTATGTTTTTGAGGGTGTTACACTGCCTAGTTCTGCGGTTTGCGCATCTGTATCTCACCAGGAGATGACTAAGATTTGGCACATGAGGCTTGGTCATATGGGGGAGAAGGGGATGCAGCTATTGTCCAAGAGGGGTCTTCTATCCGGGGTCAAGGTTGCCAACCTTGAATTTTGTGAGCATTGTGTGTTTGGTAAGAAACACAGGTCAAAGTTCAGCAAGGGTGCTCACATTACTGATGCAGTGCTCGATTACATCCATTCAGATTGCTGGGGTCCATCTAGAGTTGAAGGTATGGGAGGTTACCACTATTTTGTGTCATTTGTTGATGACAAGTCCCGATACACATGGCTTAGGTTGCTTAAGTCAAAGGATGAGGCCTTCAAAGTTTTCAAGCAATGGAAAGCTTTGGTGGAAAATCGACAAGGAAGGAAGATCAAGAAGCTACGAACGGACAATGGGCTAGAGTTTTGCAAAGACGAGTTTAATCAGTTCTGTGCAGATGAGGGTATAGGTCGGCATCATACTGTCAGGAAGACACCACAGCAGAACGGTGTAGCAGAACGGGTTAATCAGACACTGCTAGAGAGAGTTCGATGCATGCTCTCTAATGCAGGGCTTGGGAGGAGGTACTGGAGTGAAGCTGTGTTAACAGCTTGTTATGTCATTAATAGGGGTCCTCATTCTGGAATTGATTCCAAAATTCCGTTTGAGATCTGGAGTGGTAAGTTGCCTAATTTTTCGAATTTGAAGATTTTTGGTTGTGTTGCTTATTATCATGTTATTGAGGGTAAGCTGGATCCACGAGCCAAGAAGGGGTGTTTTGTTGGGTACGGGGATGGTGTGAAGGGGTTTAGAATTTTTTCACCTTCGGAGGGTCGGGTCATTCTTAGTAGGGATGTTACTTTCGATGAAAACACCATGTATTCAATTAAAAATGCAGAGATTTCAGATTTGAGAAGGGAAGGAGACAATTTATTACAGACAGATGGGGTACTTGAGGTACATCAGTCTACCATTGCTGATTTACCTCGGGTACAATATATTGATGATGATGCTGATGTTCCAGTGCCGGGTACTCCTGAACCTGAGATTACTCCTACTCATTCTAACTCTGGGGATGAGGTGGAGCAATCTAATCAGGGGTCATCTAGTCAACCTGACACCATTCTTGAGATGCCTAAACGAGTTATCAAGAAGCCTGTTAGATTGATTGAAGAGATGGAGGGAAGAAATTGCTGTGTTGATGCGATGACAGGTTATGCATTGAGTGTAGCTGATGATGTAGAGTCATTTGAACCTGCCACATATAAACAAGCAATTAGTTGTAGTGAGTCTGCGCAATGGCTTGCCGCAATGGGTGAAGAGATGCAGTCTCTTTACAAGAACAGAGTGTGGGAACTGGTAAAGGTACCGGAAGGGAGGAAGCTTGTGGGTTGTAAATGGATTTACAAGAAGAAAGAAGGGTTGTCGGAAACTGAGCAAATACGTTTTAAGGCTAGGCTAGTTGCTAAGGGGTTCAGTCAGGTAGAAGGGGTTGACTTTGTTGAGATATTCTCACCTGTGGTTCGACATACTTCTATCCGTGTGTTATTGTCAATTGTAGCACATTTTGATCTTGAGCTGGAGCAGTTGGATGTTAAAACGGCCTTCCTTCATGGCGATTTGGAGGAGGAGATTCTGATGAAGCAGCCCGAAGGATTCGAAGCTCCTGGAAAGGAACACTATGCCTGCAGATTGCTAAAGTCATTGTATGGACTTAAGCAATCCCCCCGACAGTGGTACAAAAGATTAAAGGAGATGCTTAACTCGGAGTTTGACATGAAAGACTTGGGTGCAGCTAGGAAGATTTTGGGTATGGAGATCTACAGGGATCGGGCTAGAGGTAAGCTTTTCTTGATTCAGAAAAGCTACATTGAAAAGATTCTGTCTCGTTTTGGGATGGAAAAATCGAAGCCTATAAGTACGCCAACTACTGTTAGTTGTAAGTTGTCTTTGTCTATGTCACCTCAATCAGAGGAGGAGTTGTCTTATATGTCTAGAGTTCCATATGCAAACGCGGTTGGTTGTTTGATGTATGCTATGGTCTGTACTAGGCCGGATATTGCGCATGCTGTTAGTGTTGTAAGCAGGTTTATGGCTCGACCTGGGAGGGAACACTGGCAAGGGGTGAAAAGGATTTTTCGCTACCTGAGAGGGACAGCTGATATTGGTCTTGTGTACGGGAATGGTAAGGAATGCTTGGTCACTGGGTACAGTGATTCTGATTATGCAGCTGATGTGGATACCAGGAGGTCTGTGACTGGTTATGTGTTCACTTTGGGTGGTTCTGTGGTTAGTTGGAAGTCTACATTGCAGTCATCAGTTACGTTGTCAACTACTGAAGCTGAGTATATGGCTCTAACTTCTGCAGCTAAGGAGTCTATTTGGCTCAAAGGCCTAGTAGGTGAACTGGGTATTGCACAGGATTTTGCTACAGTGTATTGTGATAGTCTAAGTGCGATTTGCTTAGCTAAAGATCAAGTACACCATGATCGGACGAAGCACATTGATGTCAGGTATCATTTCTTACGTACTGACAAGAGGATTAAGGTGAAGAAGATTGGGACTGCTGACAACCCGGCTGATTTCTTCACTAAGCCTGTTCCGTTTAGCAAGTTTAAACATTGCTTAGACTTGTTAAATATTGATTACTACGTGATGTAGTAGGCCCTGAGGGGCGAAGTTGGGGAGCTCCTGGTGTAGGTGTGTTGGCATTAAGGTGGAGCTTGCCCGGGGCTTGTGATGCAGGTGGAGCATTATGAGTTGTTATACTTGGAGACGAGTATGTGATGGGTCTTGGTTGAAGACTTATCGGGATGTATGGCTTATGCATGAGTCTTGCATCGGGTTTGGCTTGAGATGTTTTTTCACTATGTCTTGATGGGGTTGTTTGCTGACTACGAGTTCTCGTCAAGGTGGAGATTGTTGATAAGTATATTAGGTGACTCGTACTTCGTAGCTTTGTCCGCCCGATCGGGCGGACATTGCCCGGTCTGACCGGGCGGAAGAAGAAGAGGTGCCTGGCAAATTCGTTGAAGAAGCTGCTCTCGCGCCCGACCGGGCGAGCCTTCGCCCGACCGGGCGAGCCTTCGCCCGATCGGGCAGACCTTGCCCGGTCTGACCGGGCGGTGGGGGTTGGATACGTTGAAGCATTCGTATGGAGTTTTCTTCTCGCGCCCGATCGGGCAGACCTTGCCCGGTCTGACCGGGCGGAGAAGGAAAAATACGGAACGCGGATTTTGCGGTTTTAGGTTATCTTATTTTATTATCTTTTTGCCCAAGTATCTTTTAATTAGGGATTAATATAAAACCTCCCTAATATCAGTATTAGGGTTAAGAGAGACAGAGTGAGAGCCGTTCTTGAGAAATACAAGAATCATCTTTGTAATCTTTGCAGTTTATAGTGAAATCATTCGATCTCGGTGCCCGTGGACGTAGCTATCACATCGATAGTGAACCACGTAAATTCTTGGTGTTGTTCTTATTGTTTGCATTGAATTTCTTTATTGTTTTCTTGTTTGTTTACGACCTTTGCTTCCGCTGTCGCACAACACTAGCAAGCTTGATCTCATTAGGGGTAGTAGTATCAGTCAAATAGAGTGTCATAAGAGGATCAAATTCGCTATTTGAAGGCAAAACCTTCAAAATCGAGTCACGGTACGCAACAGCAGCAGCTGTAGTAGTAATTGGAGGCCTTAGATTTGGCATTATAATTGCCCTCCCATAATGTGTAGCACTGAATTACATAACAATACATCACAATTTATTAAACAGCTTAAAATGAAAAGTGAGTCAAACTTTCGAAAATGGAGAAAATATAGTGTTACCTGTACGGAGCAACGGAAGCAAGAAGGTTGCCGTCACGGAGATGGAGGTGCCAATCATCAGGGCGTGTTAGAGTTAATTCCATCTTATGCTGAAATAATTAAGCAAAATTAATCAAATTTAATTTAATTTAATTTGGGCTGTATTTTTCAGCTAATTATGAGATTAAATAAAGTAATTAGAGTAATAATAACCTATTAATTGGTGAAGGTGTGATATGGGAGGTTGAAATTTGAAGGATGTGATTGGATCTTACGTTAGTAAAAGAGAGTGATGACTGATGAGTTCATCAGTTGAGACTTCAGATGGTGAATTTGAGGAAGATGAAAGGGAGGTGCTTGAAATTAAAACAAGGGTAGTTTTGTCTTTTCAGATGAAGTGTTTTTTTAATTGATTATTTTTACCTTATGGACTATGGAAACGGTTTTATTTGACTTTCATCTACGAGTATTTAAATACGGAGTATATTTACTTGAACTTTATAAATTAAAAAATTTGAAGTTAGTATTAAAGTTGGATTCATTCTTATTTTTTCTTCAACTTAACTAAATTAAGTGATTGTAAACTTAACGAATTAACCAAAAATCTAATTCATGTGAATTAATTTGTTTCATTATGTTTTTCTATCTCATTAATGAAACAATCCTTTTCCTCCTATTAGGTATAAAATTAGATTTGTGTCTTTTATGGGATGGTAAATTAGCCCTTGTGATGTGCTAACATATGTAGATGATGAACACTAGGGGAAATGAGCAAATGAAGTGTGAAGGAAGTAAAATTACAAAGAAAGAAGGGGAAAATAGGAGTTAAAGGCTTGAAACATCACTCCTCCCTCCTACCAAAAAAAATACTTAAAAGGAAATAAATTACATGATTACGTATTTAGTTCAACAATTTTAATTGACATAACTTTGTACTAATATATAAACATTTCATATTTACCTACATGTCATTTGTTCAATTCGAGGTAGTTGTGAATCCCATGATATATAACCCATCGAATCTTACCTACATACCATCTCTATTCCATTGGAATCCACTTTCATCTCATCGAAAGACGCTCACAATTACTTTAGTCATTTTAATATATGCATTTAACCAACATCTTTATTTTATGTCACTAATAAACATTTTATGCATATAAAATTTATTTTAACTTTTTCAACATACGTTAACTAACTCACTCCATTTTCATATTAAATAAACATGAAGGGTCCGTTTGGTAGGGTGTAAAACATTTTCAATTAAAATGGTTTTCCATGAAAATCATTTTACAATGGAAAATTCATTTTCAAAAAAGTTTTCCGTTGTTTAGTTGAATGGAAAATGATTTTCCATTATAAGCATTTTTCATTGTTTGGTTGAACTGAAAATTCAATTGTGAGGGAAAATGTTTTCCCTCTACTTGTGATGGAAAATGTTTTCCTTCTAAATTGAGGGGAAAATGTTTTCAATAAGGTGGAAAATGATTTTCCACCCCAAGTTTTACATTTTAATGTTACACCAAACCAAACAATGTAAAATGGGAAAACGCTTTTCAGTGAAAATGTTTTACGCCCTACCAAACGGAGCCGGAGTGTAAATAAAATCTACTCCCTCCGTCCCTTATTTCGCACCATTAGACGAAACTTTGAGGTTTGACCATAATTCTATTGACCCCAATCTAATTTGGGTCTCATTTTAATTTGAGTAAACGAAGTGAGGAAAACAAAGAATTGGAAAAGCAGAGCAGCGCGCAGCAACAGTAGCAGCGAGCAGGGGCACCACCGCAGCAGGTGGTTGCGGCAGAGGAAGCAGTCACAGCACCATAAAATGCGCAGGGTTGCGCTTTCTTCTTCTTCTTCTTCTTCTTCTTCAATCTTCTTCCTAATCAGGCGTTTTTCTCTCAACCCTTTATTTTCCAACTCCCATTTTCTCCATACACCCTGGTACCCGCTCTCTCTCTCTCCTTTCACTCTGTTGCGCTTTCTTATTGTTTATTAATCCTTTTCTTAATTAATTTACAAGTTTTATTAGCATTTGATTGCACTAATTACTTTAGTTCTCTCTGTTTGAGGGATTTTAATTTTGGGTTCTAATTATGTTTTGATTTGCTTAAGCTATGATGGGTAAATTTTTGTTATTGATATACTTTATGTTATCATTTTTTGTCATTGAATTGGGTACATTGGATAAATTTTAACATGAATGAGGAAGGGTTTTGGGATTGTGATTGAGATGTTGTTTTGGTGGAAATTTAATGGGAATTTTTGGCTCTTGAGTTCTGACGCTTGTGTAGCAGCAATGTAGTTATGTTTCACACAAATTGCATACTCCCTTGGTACGAAAGTAGTGGTCATGTATTATTTTAAGATGTCTTGAGAAAGTTGTCAATGTTTTATAAATTTGGGCTAATGATTTACTACAATTGTTTTGTTACTATGTGCTTCTGTCTAAATTATGTGGTGCAAAGAGCGTGCAAGTTTAATTTTACTTCTAATATAGTGAAACGTTTCGATCCTTAATTATGAGGGATTGAGATAATGTGACACCAAAGGGTCATTGTTGTCTATGTTTGGAAAGTGATTTAGGATCTTCCCTATTGTTGCTGTCTGTATCACCGCTAAAAGGTTGTTACTTCAAACTATGAAATGGATCAGGATTTCAGGATGATAATGTTGGGTGCGGTTTTTTAAGATAACTCTCAAACTTATAATACACCATATGTTTTCTTTTTGTGGGTTTGGGATGTGTTGAACTTGATGTAGGTTGCTTTCGTGGCTATGCTAATGATCTCATTTTATACTAGCTTCCCTAAAGTTCTACCCAAGGATTTCGTCCAAGATCCTCCTTTAGGGCCACTCCTTCGAGTTTCCTCTATTTCAGGCTACCGAGGCTTCCACAGTAGTCTGTTTTTGGACAGCGCTAGTACTGATGCAGATACCTTAAAGAAATCTGAGAGAAGCTCTACTTCACAGGATGCGTCTACAAAGGTAAAGAGGAAAAAACTAAAGGGAAAGAGAGCAGTTGTAAGGTGGCTAAAGCACTTCAGGTGGAAGAAGAAGAAGGAGCATCAGAGGATGACTGCTGAAGAAAAGCTCTTATACAAGCTAAATAAGGTCAGCTGCTACATATATCCCATTCTTTTCCTCCTTTCTGCATTTGAACTATTCAATGCTTGTTATTTTGATGTTTTATACAAGAAGAATGAAAAGTCCTTAAACTGGAAGATGTTTCTTTATCATGTGACATTTACTAATTGGGAAATACAGGATGTGAAAATTTGCCTCTATCTTAAGAGTGATGATCTTACAACTTTTGCATCTCATAATCTTATTCTTATACTATTTTTCTGTGCAATGTAACATCCTTTATAATGTGTGTGTATTGATTTCCATGTATGGCATGTTGCATTATTTTTTTTTAAAATTCTGTCCTCTCATCACAAGCATAGTTTAAGAGAGGGAAGGAGTGGGGATGGAAGGGTTTGACAATTGACATATGTATTTTTATTAAGGGTGAAGCAACTGCTTATTTTTGTTCTGTGCCGACTTCGTCTTCAAACATTATGCTTTCATCTAGCTGTTACATGTTGGCTGTCAAATCTCAAAAGGGAAATTTGTCGCTCGTAAGCTTGCTTGAGTATACAAATTAGAGTTACTGGTATTCTTTGCCCTTGCTCATGCTCCTTCACAGCCCCCCCTTCCCCCAAAACTAAAACAAATGAGCTGTTTCTGACTTAGCTTCAGTACAGGCTAGGAAAAAAGAAGAAAGACTTGTTGAGGCACTGAAGAAGTTAGAGCCAAAAGAATGGTCAGAGGCAACTCATGATCCCGAGGTGTTGACGCCAGAAGAGCATTTTTACTTTTTGAAGATGGGCCTCAAGTGCAAGAACTATGTTCCTGTCGGTAGAAGAGGGATATACCAAGGTGTAATCCTCAACATGCATTTACATTGGAAGAAACACCAAACACTACAAGTAATTGTAAAGACATTCACTCCTCAAGAAGTTAAGGAGATAGCTACTGAATTAGCAAGATTGACTGGTGGAATCGTACTAGACATTCAAGAAGAGAACACGATAATCATGTACAGGGGAAAGAACTATTCACAACCTCCAGCAGAAATAATGTCACCACGTGTGACCCTTCCTAGGAAGAAGGTAATATATGTTATTGTAATGTTCTCATGTTTGATCATCTCATATCATGAATCAGGTTTTTGGCATAAAAAAAAATACTACTATATATATGTTATTTCTATTCCTGATGATAAAGATGGGTTTTTTTTTTTTTTTTTTTTTTTTTTTTTTTTTTTTTTTTGTGGGACTCCTTGGTTGTTTGTCTGTTTCTACATCAAGATAATTTTTTATTTCATAATATCAGGCTGTAGAGTGTAAAATAAAATTTCAATTTGCCTCTATTATGCTAGCAAATTGTTGGTGGTGTCAAAGATTCAATGGGTACATTTCATACATAGTGAAACTTTTATTCCTAGGGAAATTTAAAGTATAACAATCAAAGCTGTGGGGTACCTCATAAAGATCAAACCAAAGCTCAGGATACTAGTGAAAATTTACACAAGCCTGTTAAGCATCTCTTAGTAATCCTCATATATTCATTCATTCGTACATGACTTTTATGCCTTTTCATTTTACAGTTTGATGCAATACGTGATCTTTGCTTTCTTGAAGAACTTGGTATTGTGTTAAATTATTCTATTGCTCTACAATGACCTGTTGTGTAGAAATTCCTTGAAAATCTTTAATTTTCATCTCCTTACACTAGACTTTGTGTTAAATTATTCTAGTGCTCTACAATGACCTGTTGTGTAGAAATTCCTTGAAAATCTTTAATTTTCATCTCCTTACACTAGACTTTTTTAATATTGAAATATTCTTCTTGAACATTGAGTTACTCTATAGCTTTATTTGACAAAATCAGAATCAGAAGTATAATTTTGTTGTAATTGCTGCTGGGCATAATTTTATGGACAGATCAGGGAGAGTGCCTCTTAGCTCACTAATAGATGAATGTTTAATTCTTTGTAGGCATTGGATAAATCTCAATATAGAGATTCTTTGAGGGCTGTTAGAAAATATATTCCGAGGCTTGAGCAGGAACTTGAGCTGCTCCGCGCACAGGCTCGAAACAAAGAGAATCATGCTTCCGAGCTAACTGAAATTCCTACAAATATATCACCTGATACGCATGATATTTCTTCTGCTCCCTTACCAAGCTTGGAGTCACTCCATTCAGACAAACTTAGAGAATTGATGGATCAATATGATAAAACTGTGGAGGATGATGATCCATTTACAGATGAAAGCGTGAACTCAGATTCAGAAGATTTATCTGACATTTTTGAGACAGATTCAGATAGTGCAGAAAATGTAGAGCAGCATCTATACTTGCATGAGTTTGATAAATTACCTGCCAAGATTACTGACACAGAAACATTTGCGGAAGATCTCCGTCAGATGTCAGTAGACTCAAAAAAGACCGAGCTGTCAAGTGAGAACGTTGACCTAGCTGATTTTGATGAGGTTGACCAGGTCTTTTTGCGAGCGGCTGAACTTTTGAAAAAGAAGAGACGATGAAGGTAAGACAGTCAGATAACAAGGCTGTTGTGGAAATTCCCTTTTCTGCTGTATTGACACATGAAATCATTTAGATCTACATTTAGGGATATAGCCATATAGGTCATATAGCTGTGCATGATGTGTGTCAGTGTGTGTATAAAGATGCCCAACAACGCAACATTAACTTGCTAATCCTCTGATTCTCTCAACATTTGATTAATTGTAAGCAGGCAATTTCTTGTAGAACATATATACATTTATTGTAATATAATACTGTAGTTGGTTTAAAAATCACACCCCATATGTATTGATCAATTTTTCTGACAAAATGCTCCTCTTCCTTTCTGCATAGCTGTTTTGAGGAGTATCTAGTAAATTGAAATGTAATCTTTCCTCACTGAGCTTTTCTCCTGCTTTTGTTATTACTATGAAGGGCAAATGGAGGCCTCATTTATGGTAGTGTTGCTGAAATTTTTTACCTGTCAAGTGCGTGTAGCACTAGATAGAAGTGGATGGAGGAAGGGATCTTTGTGGATGACCACCAGAGATAAATTCTAGGTTCATGCAGTCAACCCCACCTTTTTGGGGATTAAACTTTGCTGTTCACTTGGTGGTTTTTGATAGAGTATTTCATGAAGTTGCTTTTCTGTAAGCTTGAATTTCTTAACCAATGGCTAGTGCTTTAACTCCTAATGCTTTGACACTTTCAGATTACAGAGTGTATGGCCATGATAATGTCAAAGTTGAGGATTTCTTTCAGCAAATCAAGGTTCTGTTTGTCCTTCAGTGCCATGGCCTTCAGTGAAGTGATGACTTGGTATGTCTGTGAGGCAAATGGAGAAGGTTTCTGCAGTTATTGAAGATCTGAAGCTCCAAAAGGTTGGCCAGATCTGTTTACATATAAACCTTAGGAGAAGTTCTTGTGCAGTAACTCTCAACATCAATGTTGTACAAAGAAGCAATCTTATTGAGTTGGGCTGGGATCCAAAATTTGATGAAGATTGGATGAGGTATCCAACCCTTGCTAATATATCTGTGACCACAGGACACCTTACCTATTTTGTAGAAGCTGGAACAACATACTTCTAATTTCTAAATCATATTGCATTGGAAAACAAGGATGCTGTTGACCAAAAACAGCGATCTTTGAGGGCGACTGAGCAAAATTGGCAGCAATGTGCCCATTGTGTCATCATATGTGATGTGAGGGAATACTGAAGATCCTGCTGAAGTCATGGATCAACAGGGGAAGACCTCAACAATTTAATTTTTGCAGTTTCCTCTGTGAACTGTATTTTGACAACCTTAATATTGGGGGATACTTGTGCTGAAGCTGGATTTACTGAGTGTTCAAAGTTTCCATATACTTCTGAAACAGGAATCCTGATATCATCGATGAATGTAAACAGTCATGCTGGTCAAGACGTTTTACTTGAAAGACTACCTGAGGGCTTGAGAAGAGCATAGATTGACGAATCCTGCATCTTGTTATAGCCTGCCTAATGACAGTTTTTGTCTTCTGATAAGAAGACTTGTTCGAAATATTATTTTGAAAAATATTCTCTTGGAGTTGTAATATATGCATCTTTGGTGAAAAAATTTGTGATGAAATTTCAAAAGAATAAACTTTGATTAGAAAACATCAGTTAGTTGAATTCTTACTACCAAAATAAAAATTTTACTCCGTTGTGAAAACTGAGTAAGTGAAGTAAAAACAATGGAACTTGACAAAAGTGAAATTCGTACACCTATTCACCTAAGTTCTCTTCAACTAATGAAGTTTTGATTTAGTGGTTAAAATTGATGGTTTGTGTACAATGTTCGTAGGTCATAGGTTTAAATCCCCCCATTCAATACACATATGGCATACGGTACCATTTAACTAGTGTCATATTTACTCCATTTTTTACTAGAAGTATGGTCTCGTCGGCATAATAGTGGTGTGAAATCTTATCGGCAATGGAATCGCAAAGTCTTATATGAGAACAACTCTAGCAAGTTAGCAGCAGGGCAGCAATACTCACACCGTGAGGCATCAACCCACGCCATGGCAGCTCGCTCTCTCCTCCTCCATCTCAGACGGTAATTCTTTCTCTTTCTCTCTCATCTTCAATTTTCAACATTTAGCTCACTTTCTCAAACATTTATCTCAATTTTGCAGAAAAATCATCACCATTACTAATAGCAGTAACACCAAAATCAATGTGAAATTTCTGAGTTCCACTTCAACTTCCGACGCTTTAATAACCGAAACCCTAGAATTTGAAGATTCTTCTCCCCAAATTTCCGACGATTTGAAGAGTCGGATCTTCCGTCTTCGACTTCCTAAACGAAGCGCCACTAATATTATTCAGAAATGGATCAATGAGGGCAATTCCGTTACTCTCCCAGAACTCCGTCAAATTTCTCGAGACCTTCGTAAATCTAATCGTTACAAGCACGCTCTTGAGGTATTTTTCCTATATTTATTTCTTATTTTTGTTGGGTTTTTTCTTTTTTTTTTTTTGGGTGGTGTTTTCAGTTTATCATTTATATACATAATTAATGGCATTGAATTTATAAAGAACTAGAATTTCAAGCTATTTTGTAAGTACTATAATTAAGTAAATGAAGGGAAAACATAGTTTAAGAGTTGAATTTAGGAGGAAAAAGTGAATTGCACCCAATGATATAGATTATAGACTAGTCACAATGTTATTAGATGTGAGGTCTTTTTGAGATGTTCAGAGAAAGTTGTCACCTTTCGAAGTTGATTAATGGATTAGGTTAGGATAGCTAGATTTTATATTATAGTGTGTTTGGGTGAAGGGGTACCAATTTGGTTGATTACTATGCTGGAACATAGAGCTTCTAAAATGGGGATATTTAATTAGAGTACTAATTTTTTGTCATTGGGTCTGTAAGATGAGTTGCATAAGAATTGATTTAGCTCTAAACTTTTTGGAATCTTTATAATATTACTTCATACAGAAAAGTTGTGATGTTGCGAGTGGTAGTCTCTGATGTTGAGGGAATTCTACAATGTCTATGATAGAGAACAGACTAAAGAAGGCAAGAGAAGGCTTCTAAATTGCTTCCGTGTCATTATGGATACTCAAAAAGTTTTAGTCTTGATTCCGAAACCTAATGAAGTTATAGTAATTCTTTGAATATGGCTGTGATTCGGGTTCCTACGAGAGGCCCTACTATGATGTCCATGTGTGGTCTGTGTTTGATGGTGTGCTTGTTTTGTATTGCTCTCAATTTTGTAATCTTGCTGAAATAAGGGATGTTAAAATTGTTGTGACATTGGAAGCTTCATGGTGCTTCTACTGTGAATAATAAATACTCTGAATATCACTTCCTTATTTGGGGAAATAGTTTCAGAGGAAACACAAGCTGCTTAATTTTGGCACAGAAATTAAAGTATACACTCTTATGCTATATGATTTTAAGCCTGTACTACTTAAAGATGGCCATATGGGTGTGCTGTTTGTTTTAGGCATCAGCAGCTTCAACTATTATTATGATTCCAGAATTCATCCGTTTTGAAGACTTGAAGTTTTTGAGTTTCTTGACCTTGTCTTCGTTATCATACAACGTGAGTATTTGTGTTAAAATATAAAAGTTCCTGGTTAGCTGGTTTAAGTATACAACTCAGGGATAAAGAAACCAGAAATCACCCATAGTTTCCATCAAACAGTGCCTTTTTATTGAGAAAAATATCTTAAAACCTGCTAGTGGATGTACATACTGCTGCTGTGGAATGTGCTGAATTTACATTTCTATCCTGACTTTGGTATCAAAACATGTTGTAGCTCTTTTTTTTATTGTGCTCAACTTTGTCATTGTCTGAAGAACATCAATGATGGCAAATGCACTGCAGCTATGCTTACTTATTTGAGTCAGAGAGCCTATATGTCCATACTCTAACATCCTATTGACTTGGAGTGGTATGGAGGCTTCTTTTAACAGACATCCATGAAGCATTATCTAGAATGGGTTATTATTGATAGTAATGTTAGGATATCAAGAATGGTTATATAACTGAGATGAGCAAGGTAGATAGGCCTTGATACAGTGATACTGAAGAAATCAGAATAATTGACCTTTAACTTGTGTGAGCTATTCTGAGATAATTTTATTCCCCCTGACTATGTCTGATTAGAATATAGGTCTAGAAATTTTTGTTTTAAGATAGAAGAAAGAGAAATTATGGTTGATTCTGCCCATTGTGGTCTAGTGTTTTGTCATCAGGGCAACAAGTAAGTTGTAAGAATGATGTTTAACGAGTTCTTGTATTGTTATGGCTACTATGAAAATAAGTAGTCCCGAGATGTGAACTAGCTTTTTCTTTTCTTCTTTTCTTTTTTTATTTTTTTATTTTTTTGGTAGGAAATCTGTGCCTGCAAAGATGTTAGTTAATTCTGAATTTTACTATTGCTAACCATCTGCTCCTAAACCTCATACTTCTCTATGAATGGTATAATTTCACTGTGAAAAGCTGTCACAAATGAGTCTGAAAATGGTTCATTGCCAATATTATTAGGCATATAAGAGAGGGCCAATGATTCTAATCTGTTTTTATGCCCCCCATGTATACTGTACCAAATCTTCCTGTTAAAATATGACTGCTAGCCTTCAATTATACTGTGGTATATCGAATGATTCTCATTGTCTCCGTTGCCTTTTGATGTGAATGTTGGCTTCATTCTATGGGAAAGAACACACTTTTCTTTCTTATTGCCTTTTCTTCTTCTTCTTCTGTTTTTATGTTGCTAATTGAGTTTGTTCTGACCTTTTCTGACTAATATACATGGTAGGGTTTTTTCTTTTTTTATACTTTTAAGTGTTTTGTGATGCTTGAGTTAATGGTCAGTTAACTAATGGTTTGTTACCATACAGATAACAGAATGGATGGTTTCTCATAATGAATTCAAGTTATCTGATTCTGACTATGCTGTTCGCCTTGATTTGATGACAAAAGTTTTCGGGGTTGATGCCGCTGAAAGATATTTTGAAGGTCTTCCACATGATGCTAAAACAAATGAAACATACACAGCTCTCCTCCACTCCTTTGCATGTGCTAAATTAACTGATAAAGCCGGGGAGCTTTTTCAGCGTATGATGGAGTCAGGTCTATTCTTCCATGCCATTACCTACAACGAGATGATGACTTTGTACATCTCTGTGGGTCAAATGGAGAAGGTTTCTTCAGTTATTGAAGAGCTGAAACGCCATAATGTGGCACCAGATCTCTTTACTTATAACCTTTGGATAAGCTCTTGTGCTGCAACTCTCGACATTGATGGTGTCAGAAGCGTTCTTTCTGAGATGAGCCAGGATCCTCAGTCTGATGATGGTTGGGTGAGGTACCGAAACCTTGCTAACATTTATGTTACAACTGGCCAACTTTCCAGCTCTGGGGGTAGCTCTCTTGTAGAAGCTGAAAAGACTGTTACTCAGAGAGAATGGATTACCTATGATTTCCTCATCTTACTTCATGCTGGCTTTGGAAACAAGGATATGATTGACCAGATATGGAAATCCTTAAGAATGACTAAGCATAAAATGATTGGTCGCAATTATGTGCCCATTTTGTCTTCATATTTGATGCTAGGTCATATTGAAGAAGTAGAAGAAATAATAGATCAATGGAAGAACTCCACAACTTCAGTTTTTGACAGATCCCTCTGTGATAGATTGGCGAATGCTTTTGTAGAAGCTGGATTTACGGAAACAGCTGAAACTTTTCGTTCCCTTTTGAATGAGAAAGATGATGCTATCAGTGAATCGGAATAGGCACAAGCAGCTACGGTGGGTGAAAAGTAGGCAGATGAGTCTTGCTACTCAGGCGTGGTATTTTTAAAGCCTGCCTGATGACAGTTTTGATAAACGCCAGCAGATAAATTTTTTTTTTTTTTTTTGGAAGAATCTCCATTCAATGTATTGTCACCGATCATGTACAACTCTTGTTTCGATTTTCCATCTTTGGTAAATGAAACTGCTTATCATTAATGGCTAGTAATAATGAGCTTAAAATGTACGAGTATGTGATTTTAAAGAGAACGAGGATCATGCTTTGCTCTATCATAACGTTGTATTGTGATTTATATGTAAGAAAGTGTATGGTCATATGAGGCCTTGTCGTATTCATTATACGGAGTATATATTTTTATAATTTTTATTTTTCTCGATTATATAAGAGGGAGGGAGCACTTTGGTGTCCTAAAAATACAATAATACCTTTTGTAGCTCAATGTTAATGTTGAAAATATATATATATATATATAAAAATATATATATATATATATACATATATATATATATATATATATATATATATATATATATATATATATATATATATATATATATATCAATGGGCTTGAATGGAATGATAAATAATTTATGATGTTAGTTACAATTAAATGGAAACTCATCATTGGCAAGTCAGTCATAATTGACAAGTTAAAATTTGACATTAATTCTTCAAATAATTGTCACCAATTAAGAAATTGTAGATTATGGAATTATGACAATTAAGAACATTTTATCAATTATCATTTCAATTTTGTGAATAGATTTGAATAATTATAACTAACATTATGAATACAAAAACTTTCCCCTTTTTATTCTTGCTATTAATTTTTTATTTGCCGATATTATGTATATAATTTTCAGTCTCATCTCTCATTTATTGAGAGTCCAATATTATATGCATCGATCAAATTTCCTATAGTATACACATCAATTTAATATTCATCACAATTATATTTATTTAAAAATTAAAAAATGCATATCACGTGCTATATAAACACATTCCTCATTAAATTTCCAACCAAATGCAATTGCACCTTACCAATTTAATCCTCACGTAACATAACTCCACACAAAATAAACCTCCTCAATAATATTTTCTTTTCCAAAACCAATCACTCACAAAGTCGTAATATATCAATCATCCACTCATTAAATTGTTATGCTAATCAAATCAACTAATAGGAAAATCCGATTTGATACAACACAATCCGATTTGATACACCTCAACCTCAATCCCCTTATATTTAGCCCTAATCTCCTCCTTGAGAAGAAATTCATACAAAGCAAATGAAAAATTAAACGCTAAGAGCTTAACACCCACCATAGACATACACAAATGTTCCCTCTCACGGGTTCCTCGAAGTCCCACAAATTTCCATACTAAAGAGACTACTGTACTCACTGAATACAGTATCCCCAGTAATTATTAGCACCTCTCATACTCCTTTTTCTCACTCTTTTCTTCTCTTCTACACTCTTCATTTCACTTACCTTTCTTTTCACTCTTCTTCTATCAAAGGTATTCTCTTTCCTCCTTTTCTTCCTTTTTGATTTTTGGTTCATTTGATTGATCTTTGATGTTATAGTCTTGTTTTTGTTTCTGGGTTTGTTGATTTTTTGTTGTTTGATTGTATAGGTTTGTGGAAGAATTACTGAGTTGTTGATCTGAAATGGGTGTTACTAAGAAAATTAAAAAGTTATCTGATTTTCAAGGTAGGCTAATACCTCTTTTTGTTTTCAATTTAACTTCTTTTTTTGTGGGATTTATTGTTGATTTATTATGGTAGTTTAGTATTTTGATTTGGGTCCTTTTCTTTGGGGTTTCTTCAGAATTTGATCAACAATGGAGGGTTTTGATGCGTTGGCTTTGGGTTGGTGGCGGGTTCTTGCTACAATGATAAAGAAAGAATTTGGTTTCTGAACTTTTGCTTTTCAGAAAATTTATGTCCATTTTATTGATGAATTAGTTATAGCATTAGTTTGATTTAATTTGTAGTTTGATGTAATTTGCTAATTATTATTAGTGCAACAATGTTCAGTTTAGTAGTGATTACTGATTAGTTAGAGTGTGAGTGTAGGAAGTAATTGACAATGTGGACTGATGAATGATTTTTAGTAATTAAGGATTTAGATGAAGTCGCCGAGTAAGAAAAGGAAGGGAGTCGAGGAGCTATTGAATGGTGGGAGATATACTTCATCAATAGCATATTATAGGTCTCATGTATCGTTGGAAGATTACTCTAGGCTAAGAAAAAGGGGAAAGGAAGATGTAATTAGAGATGATTGTAGATTGTCCGAGAGTAGAGTGAGTGGTGTCGTTACTGCTCCACCTTACGGTAGCTTGCCTTCTGGGTCACCTACGAGAGGTATTAAAAGGAAAATAGGTTGTATAGATGCAGCTACCAGAACAGGAAGGAAGAAAAAGATTGAGCAGGATTATTATTTGGGTGCTACGATTGGGAAAGGGAAATTCGGGTCTGTGAGAATGTGCTGGAGCAAAGCAAGTGGTGAGGTGTTTGCGTGTAAAACTTTAGCCAAAGGGGAAGAACCTGTGCATCGAGAGGTGGAGATTATGCAACATTTGTCTGGACATGTGGGCATTGTAACACTCAAGGCAGTGTATGAGGATGTTGAATCTTTCTATCTTGTGATGGAATTTTGCCCTGGCGGGAGATTGCTTGACCAAATGGCAAGGGAAAGGCGATACTGTGAGCAGCAGGCTGCTAACATACTAAGAGAACTTGTTATGGTCATCAAGTACTGTCATGATATGGGTGTTGTTCATCGTGATATAAAGCCAGAGAATGTTCTTCTTACATCCTCAGGGGGCTTGAAGCTTGCAGATTTTGGCCTGGCAGTTAGGATTGTTAATGGTAAGTGGGCTAATAAATTATAATGCTTGATGCTGCATTTAAGAGCTTGCCATGTTTGGTCTTCTTCATTGCAATTTATGGTCATCAATTTATAAGCATCACTTTCGATTCGTATGATTTGTGCTTTTAAATACTTCGTATATTTTATGTAAATTTCTATAAAGGTATGAAGTCTGAGGTCATATTGTTGTGACTCGAAGAAGTGGCAATCCTGGATTTTGTTCGTGTCATGTATGTCTTTGTTGATGTGGTATGTTTGTCAATTATCTGCTGTTCACATGATCACATCTCCCTCCAATCAACAGACATACACTAGGGGGGAATGGGGATAGTGACTGGATAGAGGGAGGAGAGAAAAAAATGCAATATATAATTTTTTTACTCTTTGATGTCTCCTTTCAGGTCAGAGCTTGTCTGGTGTGGTTGGAACTCCGGCTTATGTTGCTCCTGAAATTTTGGCGGGTGAATATTCAGAAAAGGTGGATATCTGGAGTGCTGGGGTGCTTCTTCATGCACTTTTGATTGGTGTTTTACCCTTTCAAGGAAGCTCTTTAGAAGCTTGTTTCGAGTCCATCAAGAGTGTGGATCTTAATTTTGATAGTGGCTTATGGATAACAGTTTCACAGCCTGCTAAGGATTTAATTGCCCGTATGCTAACAAGAGATGTTTCAACAAGACTATCTGCCGATGAAGTACTAAGTAAGTTCCAGTCTTTCTTATTGGTCTTTCCACTGCAAAGTCTAGCACCCTCTGCTGCTTGTTTCACAGGTTGCTTCTTGCATCCAAAATGTGTTCGGCTGTTTGCCCTAGAATTGGTCATGTGATGATGTTTTAAGCAATTGCACTCATTTCCACATATATCTTAATTATTAATTTATTTCTAGGCTTTTAGATTGACAGTAGTCACAGATATTTGATGCGAAAAAATGACAAACTAGAAACTGGAGGATCTTATGTTTAGAGTTACGGTGGATTTCTCCTTTTTCTTTCTTGTTCAATTTGTAGATTTGATGGCAGATCTATTCGAGTACGTATACGTATAGCAGAGTTATCAGTGGTAAAGAAAAAAAAAAAAAAGGGACCCTTGAAAGATACTAAATCTTTTCTTAGTATTATCCTCAAGTATTTGTAATCCTTCCCCTCACCTTGATCATCTGATCTTTAATGAGTTTCTGTTTCTATTTATGTTCCCATTTTATATTTGTTTCTCTGCCACGTAGGTTAAGACCGAATTTTATGTTTCCATATCCTTTCCCATTTTCATATCTGCTTATGTGCTACCTAAATTGTGACTGAATCCTATGTTTCCATTTCTAATTCATATTTATGAGTTGTTTGAGTGGGAGTCGGGAGGGGAGGTTTTTGAGAGGAAGCCGTCAACAGAGGCAGTTAGCACCTCCTTGTTTAGTATCGAATCACAATATCTATATTTATGAGTGTTTAGACTATCATTGTAGTTGGTTAGACTGATAGTTCAAGCTTGTAAAATCAAGTTAACAAGCTACAGAGCATGTTTGCAGTGGAGATGGTGACAGTCTATGAGAGGTGAACTGGAGGCAGCTAAACTTTTTGCAGATTTAAAGCTGAGTTAGTTGTGATGCTTACATACGGATCTAGGGTATTGGGCCTATTGGCTAGTTGGGAGGATGGTAAATCTATCTATGATGCTAAAGTTGTTTTCACTCTTGGAATTTATGCATGCTTGGTCATTTTTGGTTGCCGGTGTAGAAGAATTGATGATGTTCGTGCTGTAGCAAATGAGATAAATTGAGGGTTGATATTAATTTTGCTTCTCATTGTTTAGTTATGTATGCTTGTTAACTAGAATAATGAAGATTGCAACCATTATGGTTGCTGCAAGTCAAGTAATTCAACTTTAGAGTGTTTCTTTTGATAGTGAGATTGCACAAGTCAATAAGATTTAGCACATTTTCTTATTTTCCAGAAAGTCAAGAAATGAGGAAAAAAGTTGTTTGTTAAGGCTTGCTTGGAATGCGATTACTCATGATGGGCAGAAGGGAGGTAATAAAGAGGCTGTGAATGGGTGGAGGTGGTTAGTAATTTTGGTGAAAAAGAGAGAGGAAGAGAAGGTAATAGATTACCCCCAATTCAGGGTTTTTAAGTACACCCCTGCTTCTGGGGCCTAGGTATAAGAATTACCCCCCCCCCCCCCCCCCAAATAAGGGTAATAATCTCCCATCACGGCCTCTTCCTTCAAGCACCACTGCCCCCACTCGATTATGTACCACTTCTTATTGCCTGTCCTAGAGGAAACATCTTTACTCCTCAACAACACCCACCCACCCAACACCCCCCCCCCCTCCTCTCTCACCCCAGCTTCTTAATGTTAGGTAGGGTAAAATACATTAACTGCTGGTCATGTTTTGATTGTTTATTTCCATCTCTTTTATCTTCAGTCATTTGTGCTATTTGACAATATA